GATGTAGAAACAGCATTAAATGAATAAGCCTTTCTTGTGCAACCAATATCTAAAAATAAAACTAGATCAAGGTTTGACAGTTTTAGAATGGCTAAGCAAGACTCTGGTGAAATTGTAAAAGTCTGCAGGAGTTAAGTGAATTGAAAAGCTGTGGTAAACAGCTGCATTTGAGGCCATGAATACTGCTTTTTGAAATGTAAAATACACTGAGCAAGGAGCAGAGCTTGTATTGGTGGCATCGCACTTTAACCTGTGATTCATACATGAACAGTAAGTTTTTTTTGTTTGTGCTTAATCAAATTACATGGACATTTTGGCACTGCTTCTCAAAAAATAATGGTAAGTTGTAACATTCCAGGGCCAGAAATGGGCGCTTTCATGTACAAAGCTTTACTTGGCTCCTTGGAATAGAGGTTAAGTAGAGCATGGTTTAGAGCACCTTAAATTTCATTGCATCTCAAGTAGAAATATGGGTGAAGCAAAACTAACAGTACTTTAGGGGATATGACTTAGTAGAGAAATGTTGAATATTCACATTACCTTACTTAGATTAAATGGCTCCTATGGGCAATTGTCTGTCAAAACTCTTTTCATTTGCTTTCTTGGTAATTCACTTTAACTGGTGAGTGGTTTCATTACGGCAGTGCATTTTGCTGGCGAGTGTTGAAAAATAACTGAGGTAGATTTCTCTAATTGTTTCTAAGTCACCCTATATGCATTATGATTTCTAGACTTCCGGGTTCGTTTTTATGTTTCTGTTTTTTCTTTTTTTACCTCCTCCCCCCCCCCCAAAAAGGGTATTAAGCTTAGACCTTTTGGAAACATTTAGACCATTTTCTTTAATTTGATTAAATTTATATAACAGAAACCTTTAAAAAGAGTCTGTACCAAACCAATTACCGTTCCACCTTGACACAACTCTGGGATATTCTAGAAACACTTGTATTTTGCAGAAATAAAATGGAAATTTTTAGTGCTTGATACACTTAAAGCGATAGTGAGAAATTTTTTTAATTTATGCATATAAGAAACATACATTCAAGTAAAATCAAATAAAAATAGATAATTCTTTTCTTATGTCTTAAAACAGTAGCAAATGAAAGGGAAAAGTTCTGTATTAATTAACATTATGGCTAATTATAGACCTGAATTTTAGAGCCATTTCTATCAAGTCTAGATTTTGACAGCATATTGATATATTTTATTTCAGGTTACATTGCTCTTAAAACTGTAATAGTATTTTCCCTCCAGTTTTGATAGGTATTAGCATGTTACTTTTATACTGCAAAGAGTAATTCCTGTATTTTAAAAAGCCACTACAAAATGTTATGTTATTTGGGGAAAGAAGAGGGGTATTCCCAAAAGGGTGGCTGAGTATTTTTGTCAGTGATGAGCCAAGAATTTGGGATTAGATTTAGAGATTGATTTAAAGAATGGAATTTCAAAGAAAAGTTTTTGGTACATTAATACCTAGGTATTCATTAACCTAGAAATCAAAATGAATGCATCTTTTTATTCAGAGTGTTAGTCTGTATGGCAATTATGAATGTGTTTAAATGAAAGATGTTTTTATACACAAAGGTGCTTTTCTACCTAGAGGCTTAAATTACTATTAATTAAGCAGTATATAATATAATAGATAATTATAGTGTTTTAATGTGGATGCCAGTGGATTTGCTAGTCTTTCTAAATGGCCATTGTTGGCTAATAGTCTTCAGGGGATCATTTATATAGCCATTGTGGTTCTAAAAATATCTCTAAATAGCAGTGGGACAGCCTTTTTTGAAGCATGGATATTATAAAATGCACTTTTATTTGAAGTGTGTTGTTTTGATTACATCACTCAATTACTTTCATATGCGCCAAAAATAAATACCAATGTTGAAAAGGAATAAAGGAAAGCTCTTTGTATCCAGAAAAATTTCAGAACAATATGGTAGTTAGAGAAAGATTTGAGTTAGGAGTATTGGGAATCTGTTCTATTCATTGGATTTTTAGCTATTCTATTCATTAGGTTTTTAGCTGGAGATGTTTCTATGTAGCATCATTGTTTTTATTTTAATTAATATTTCTATGGCAGAGAGATAATTAGATAAATGCTGATGAATATTAAATGTGGTAGTAGCTTAGGGGAAATAAGCATTTCTGGGTCAAAGCCCTCAACAAAATATTATCTTATGTGAGCTGATTAATTGAATTGAATGCCAAATGGTTTTGCCACCATCCAAACCAAACTCTCACAGCCACTCAGTTCATTATCTAAGGCTCTTCCAGAATGGAATGAATGCCTTTGTCAAAGTTAATGGTGCTCTTTTTAATCTGAGCTACTCATGGAGGAAATCTTGATTAGAGAATACTTCCCACCTCACTAAATTAGCTACGTGTAAGAACATCCCAAAGAGTCTGAACCTGAGTGCCAGACCAAGAATTTTACATGCTGAATTGTCTGAGGTTCTCAGTGCCGTCGCCCAGTGGTTTCTGTATATTGTGGGTTCCAATCTGTAAGGGCCCATTGGAAAGCCTGAAGTCAATTCTAGGTTCTAGGCTGCTCTATGGTCCTTGCTGCCTGTATCTAACATTGAATGCAAGAAAGACTTAATTTCCAATTAGACCAGAGAAGCTAAGGATTCTCATCAACCATGTTTAGTACAAAGAAATGTTATAATTTGTGAACATAACTGTTTAGTAGCATCCCAGAGTGATAGTTTTCAAGTTGGATTCCAAAATATCCTAGGGGTTCAGACATTATGCCATTGTTGGATCTTAATTACAACTATTTAAAAAACTGTAATGAGGGAATTCCTGGTGGTCCAGTGGTTAGGACTCCACAGTTCCACTGCAGGGGGCATGGGTTCGATCCCTGGCCAGGGAATTAAGATCCCACAAGCCTGGAGGTGTGGCCAAAAAAAAATTAAAGAGAAAATAAAACACTGTAATGAAAGAGACACAGAATTTCACATACACATTCCAAATTTTTCCCTAGGATGCCAGTGATTAACTTGTGCTGCCAGGTTAACTAGTTTGGGGGTAGATTTTACAGTAAAGCTTCTTCTGCCTTTTTGTGCATAGATTGGAAACTTTCGTAAACAGGGACTCCAGTAGAGAGCTCCCAGCTCTGCTGTGCATATCCACTCACATTCAGTTGTGCAACCAGCCACATTCCCAGTTTTCCTGTACTGGGCTTAATATATGCCCAGCAAGGCTCAAGCACATCTGTTTGAGAACTTGCTTTTCCACAGAGTAATAGTGGGTTAGACCAGTGACTGTTCACATACTACAGTGTGATACAACATTATAAGTTTAGGCTTAATTTACATTTTAGGTGCCATTTGTCAAATTAATTTTTTTTAGTGAGGAATACTGATCCTTATCTATTATAAAAAAAATAAATACCTTTGAAAAAAATGACCTAATACTCTTCATTAACACCTCTGGTTCATTTTAATTAAGGGCCTCTTGCCACTAGAAAGCAAGCTTTTTTGGTCAACTATTACTGTTTGCAGCCACTTACCCGTTTGGATCAGAACTATCTCGATATTTTGCAGCATAAACAAACCATGGAAATAAATTAACCCCTGCAGTTCATATAGGACTGTAGGTGTCATTCACAACTGCTTTTTATCAGAATTTTGTGTTCTTCAACACGGCCTTTTGTTTTGCATTGATAACTTTTAAAGAAACGTTGCTGGTTATTTCTAAAATTCTGGAATTTTTCAAATCTTCAGTGTAGAGCTATAGAATTGTGTATCGGGCAGTTCTTTCTATTTCCACATTTGCAGTGTAAGAGAGCATCAGTGCTATTTAGGATACAAGCTCACTATTCTTACAATTTTCTACTATTTCAAATAGCTAAAAATTTGATATCCAGAATGTAAATGATATAAGAATTAAATAATATTTTTGAATGAATTTCAAGGTAAGGAGATTGGTTAAAGACTACTATGGCAAAAGGTCTACTTTGCATTCTGAGTGTAAATCTTTTCTATCATTTTTGAAATTTTATTGGAGGTCACTTTGCCTGTTCAGGAGTTCCGTATTATATGTAAGCTGGACTTTTCGAAGAACACTCAGGCAAAGAGGCAACAACAGTGGAACCTGTTTTTGTTGGTTGAAGAGGTAGAAAAGGAATTAGGAGGGAGTATGTCATGATCCATTTTACCTGCTTTCTCTTTCCTTTTTTTTTTTTTTTTTTTTTTTTTGCGGTACGCGGGCCTCTCACTGTTGTGGCCTCTCGCGCTGCGGAGCACAGGCTCCGGACAAACAGGCTCAGCGGCCATGGCTCACGGGCCCAGCCGCTCCACGGCATGTGGGATCCTCCCGGACCGGGGCACGAACCCACGTCCCGTGCATCAGCAGGCGGACTCTCAACCACTGCGCCACCAGGGAAGCCCTCTCTTTCCATTTTTAACTGGACTTAGTTCTGCCTCTCTTCACAACAGTAAGAAAATCACTCACCACTTTCCCAACTTCTTACAGATGCTTTTGAGAGATACAGGTGAATGGCCTTGGAACCTGACGTGTGTCCTCTGGGTTTTATTATCCATTGTTCTTGTCCTAGACTTAGGTAAATGGCTTTAGAAAGCCTTTATTTATTAGAACATATAAGCGTCATTCCCTGTAGGTCTGGAGTGCATACTTCAGAAATCTTATAAAATTTATTTTTAAAAGCACTTTTTTTTATGCATTGGTTTTCCATAACATCTGTACCCAAAAATATAGATGATGTTTTAGGGAAGGAAAAAAAGGTGACAAAATTGTATGTTTAGAGAGCCTTGTAATAAAAAAAAAATCTCATTGCTTGAGGCGTTCTATGTAAGAGTTTTAAAAAATAACTTTACTAAATAATGTATTTTGTGGCTAAAATTCCCCTAACCTCACCCCTCCCACTGCCACCACCATTTGTCTTATTCCTTCTGTGCACACTGTTCAGGGCTTGGCTAAGCAGCTGCCCCTCTTATCACCGATTTGCTCACCGTGTGTTTATTTTCCTTTCTTTGCAGAGACCCTCCTTGATGACTTCCTTCTCACGTACACGGTCTTCATGACAACTGACGACTTGTGCCAGGCGCTGTTGAGGCAATATCCTTCATTAACTTCAGGATGCTGTGTCGGCTTCCTCTCAGACAGATGTCTCACATTAGGAATTAACTGCCTTTCTTCATTTACTCAGCCCCTCGGTAGAGTGTGGCTGTGTTAAATATTCATGTCATGATAGCCAAGGCGAAAGATGAAATGAAACAGACCAGGCAGGGGGAACTGGAAATGAATGCAGAGCCGCTGTTTTCACGTTCTACGTCGTGGGTAAATTGTGCTGTCGATATTATGTTTTCTTCAAACCTACGCCTCAAGACTTTAGAATCTGGAGATGAATTTGGCCTGCTGGGTAAACACCAGAGTCAAGAGGTTGAGTGGATTGGCAATATAACTGGACTTAGAAGACAATCAGTCAGTGCCAGACCATGTGATGGGAAAACATACATATGTGATAGTGTGTTTCTGGGCAAGTATCCCGGGGGAGACAAGGATTCCCCACTTGGGAGGTCTTATCCCCATAATCAAATGTCATCGTTTCAGAGCTTTGTCAGGGCATGCTCTCTTAGGGTGATGGATGTGATTAGAAGGTTGATGACCAGTTAAGGAGGCTTTAGGATTGCATACACTAACTAGAAGCGATGCAACAGATCAAAGGCTGGAAAGCCATGCCCAGGAAAGGCACTCAGAGTTTCCGAACGAGTGTCTTGCCTCACAATGTTTAAGGAAGAGTTTTTTCTTTATCATTAGTCAAGCCATGATAGTTACAGGAAAAGAGGAAAACAACATTTGCATAAGTGGAAATAATGTAAGATAAATCTTTATATTATGCCTTTCAAGAGAAAAACTAGAAGAAATAGGTACTTTAATAGATTCTTTTTGTGTTTGCTTGAGTTTGTTTCACAGGTAGAAATCAAAGAAATCAGATGTCCTTGATGTACTTTTTTTTTTTTCCTGAGTTAGTTGCTTTAATTTTATGGTGACATAACAAGGATTATAAGTATTTTTTCTCCAGGTATAGCCATTCTAAAATGTTCAGGGTTAGCTATTACTTTTCTCTGCTATTTTATTTTTTTATTGAAGCATATTTGATTTACAATGTTGTGTTAATTTCTGCTGTACAGCAAAGTGATTCAGTTTTATATATATATATATGTATAGTAGTATTCCATTGTGTATATACGTACCACATCTTTTTTATCCATTCAGTCCTTGATGTCCTTTTGCAGGTTGGGGAGACAGTGACTGAATTATGTTTTAAAATAGTTACAAAGCCAGATACAGAATTGATTCCTATTTTGCAATTATATATCAACATTAAAGAATATAGAATCCTGTCCAGTAACCCCAAAACCTACCTGCGTTTGGTATCATAGCATTTTCTATTTCTAGTTAACTTTTCAGTGTGTCCAAGATACTCAGAATGATAATTTGGGGGGCAAAAATGCTAGGTTGTTTTGGAAAGCACCAAGCTTCTGTCTCATTCCTAAGGCTTTAAGCATGTTGCCTTTGAGGTTGTTATTTTTATATAATTTTAACAGCATAGTTAATACATAGTCATTGTATACAAATTGGGAAATGCTTATAAGTATAATAAAAACAATTCATGTTCTCTGAAATCTCATTACCTTAAGAAGTCGCTGTTAAACTATCAGTATATATCTTTCCAGGTAATGAATATATAAATAAGCATAGTTAATAGAAATGGGTGATCCTAACGTATACTTCTCTTACTTGCTTTCCTACTTAACAGTATACTGTGAATGTCCTGTGTCAGTAAATATAGTGCTGGACCATCAGTTTTATGGCTATAGAAAAGCCCTTTAAATGGATATGCAGTAATTTATTTAACTGTCCTCAATGGTTGAAGCATTTAGGTTATTCCTATTTAATATTTTTTTATTACAGTGAAAATGAAAATTAGCAGCCCTTTTTTACTTACATTTGCACACTTATCCATTTCTTTTTTTTTCCACATAAATTCCTAGGGTGAGCATTTGAATCATATCACAAATTATGCTCCAGAAATCTGTGCTCATTTGGCGCTACTTTAGAATGTGAATTTCTGATGATCAAAGTATATCTGGCCCAGCTCTGATCTAACTTTTATGGAAACAGTGTCCACCTATGTAGTGAGGCCAGATCTCTTGGAGCCCCTTAATCTCTTGTGATTAATGGGCCACCTAGGGTCTCTTGGAGGTGGCATTAACCCATGCTGCCTGTGGAGCTATGTCAGCAGCTGTCAGTTCTGTCGTCCAGTCTTTATCCTCACGGCCTGCCACCATGTTATGTAAATCGTTTTCCTGGGCTTACCCTCTTCAGTGCACACCTTTTACTCTCCCTACACATATTCTTTTCTTCCTGCATATTCAGGTACTTGTAGATTTTTTGGGAAATGTGCCTTAGCATAGTTTGTGAAAGCAAGAATAAACGGATCTCTTCACATTTTTTACTTGCAACAATGTAATTTCCTTAACCATTTGCACCTATTCTGCTAAGAAGTATCAAGGCAAAGAAGAAAACTCAGATGTTCCTTGTCGGAAACGGAAGGTCTTGCATCTTGTTTCCCAGTGGATTGCTCTGTACAAAGACTGGTTACATGAAGATGAACATTCAAAAATGTTTTTAAAGGTAATGTAAAACATCCAGTTATTGAGTAATTCTTTTATGCCAAATGACTCATTTCAAAAATCTCATTCGTGGACTTCCCTGGTGGCGCAGTGGTTGAGAGTCAGCCTGCCGATGCAGGGGACACGGGTTCGTGCCCCGGTCTGGGAAGATCCCACATGCTGCGGAGCGGTGGGCCCATGAGCCATGACTGCTGAGCCTGCGTGTCTGGAGCCTGTGCTCTGCAACGGGAGAGGCCACAACGGTGAGAGGCCTGCGTACTGCAAAAAAAACAAAAACAAAAACAAAAATCTCATTCGTAGGTTACAGTCATCTAACTTGTTTGTAATATTGAAGTTATGATTCAAAGTATTAATTGGTTTTGACCTCTGAAGCCTGATATTCCTTACATAGAAGAAGGCAAGTTTTATCATCACTCATTTAAGGTTATTTATTTTATATAAGTCATGGGAATTTTGACTGCAAATGAAATAATTATGGAACGTAAAATAAAAGATACTTTAAAACTTGATACTGTTTAATATGTTGAAATGTATTATAACTTTAAACTAACAATTCCCATATCTACAATAATGGGATAAAACATTTGTCATTTAAAACCTATAGTGACAATGTATACATTATGAAACCTTTTCAGGACCTGGTATATTTTGAGACATTAGAGCAGTAATAACCTATAAAATAGATACTAACCTAGATTTATATTTGAAATTGGATAAGCTGATATATGTGTCTAATCATTAGTAGGCTGCAGTGTCTTTTCAATACCGATGATTCTCTGGAGATGGCTTGTAAACAGTTGGATTCTTTTGGCCACCAAAACCGTATTAGCTGTGCAAGTTAACACAGAGAAGGGGTACAGTGGAATTTGAGCAGGGAAGAGTTCTATTTCAGAATAGGCAAGTATCTAAACTGATTTTGCCTTTCATGAAGGAAATCACTTTGATTTCAAAATTCAGATATCACTTAGACATCCAGTTAAAAACTGGTTTAAATCAAGTCTCTGACTAAACTAGTGTTGTTTTCAAAACAACTGGGTAGGGCTTCCCTGGTGGCGCAGTGGTTGAGAGTCCGCCTACCGATGCAGGGGACACGGGTTCGTGTCCCGGTCCGGGAAGATCCCACATGCCACAGAGCGGCTGGGCCCGTGAGCCATGGCCGCTGAGCCTGCGTGTCCAGAGCCTGTGCCCCACAGCGGGAGAGGCCACAACAGTGAGAGGCCCGTGCACCGCAAAAGAAAAAAAAAAAAACTGGGTAGTTTAATTCAATGGATTTTTTCACTCCCTAATGGTTATGTGGATAGTATTTCTAAAAATTTAGAACAGGCATGGAAATTTCGAGTAGCCAGCCAGAGATTTCTTAAGTTTCCACCATTCCCTACCTATAGCCTGTGAAAGCTTCCACAGAGCCACACCAGTTGAGCGAGGGGCTAGGAGGTGGAATCCCACTCAGGATCTCATTGGTACCTGGTTTACCCCCCAGCATTGTTCTGGATTCCACTTATTTCCCTGAGCAGGTTAACCACTTTATGAATCTTAATCCTTACAAAATAGGCCTCAAACCAATTAAGCTGAAATTTCCTTTTTCCCCCAGACCATATACAGAAACGTACTGGATGATGTATATGAATACCCAATACTTGAAAAAGAACTGAAAGAATTTCAAAAGATACTTGGAATGCACCGTCGTCAGTAAGTAATTTTCCTCATCACAGTTAGTAAAAGAAAGCAGCACATGTGATAGAATTGGGGGTGTCTCATATGTATCATTTGGAACATTTTGAATCTGAGATTTATCTTGATTCCTTAGGTTCTCTAGTAGTAAATATTTGTTTTTATATCTCAAGATGAATGAACACTAAATCAAGCTTATTGGCTATTTTTTTTTTTAACCCTGTGTGGTATGATAGAAACAAACTGCGCCATGACAGTCCGGGTGCATTAAGAACAATTATCTAATAAACTATTATTTAGTTTTAAAAGTGTAAGTATTTAACTTGTCATTTGGGGGAGCTCATAGCTATCTCTAATGAATAGGAAAAACGTTTTATAAATAGGTCCCAGCAAGTCATGGTGCATTTTTAAAGTTCAGTTTTATGGATTCCCTGAAGTTTCTTTATCAATTCAGAAAACTTAAAGGAAAGCATTTATTCAGTGACTTTTGTCATATCCAAGGTGTATCACTGAGGTGTCTATCATTAGTCTTTCATATTGCTAATACCTAACTTTACTCTGATTTACCACTAACTCTTTTATTAATTTTGGTAAATGAAAACATCAAGTCATTATTCAGTTTTCAGATGTAGCTGCAAAGTTAACCTGAAGGGAAAAATTGTTCTCTGATTTACAATGTAGTTTCTACTTTTTAAACATAAAACACATCTGTTGTCAAGTTGTGAAAAACTTCTATTAAGATTTCAGCAGTCACAAATGCACTTCTCATAGAAAACGTTAATTCAGGCCTTTCAGATTATCGATTTGAGATTTAAAGCCTGACTTAATTTTAGTAAAGGGAGATCCTATTTAGTAAAGGCTATATAAAGACTTTTAGGGTGCAAACAAATTATGTATAAACCTTAGTCCCAATCAGGAAAATCACACATTTAGAAATTCAGAAGTGAGGGGCAGGGTGTTAGAAATGAATGTTGTGAATTTTGGTGGTCGTCTTTTATCACAGTCTACACTGTAATAAATTTGGGTAGCCTAAGACTAGTATGAAAATATGAACAAACAAATGAAGCAAAAAAGAAAAAGAAAGAAACCTTTACATGAGAATAATCCCCTACATGGAAGTTGATCTATGCTGTAAGGCAGGCCTTCTTACAGTTGGGAAAATTTAATTCTGGTTTAGTACACATTTAAATGCATTAAATAAATAAATGGAATTTAATACATTCCATTTTAAAACTTACATAAAACTGGGAAATAAAAGATTTAAGTAAGAAAATTGTCTAAGACATGATTCTTGCGTGTTTGGTACAAGGTGATGAAGTATCTCTAGATTCTGGAATAAGATTTGAGCTGGGGACCAGCAGAAGATCCCCCAGTTCCACCACACATAGAAACATCCTGGAAAAGATCTGTCTTGGCTGACTTATTTAGCTATCTAAAGAAGAATAATTTCACCGAAAGTCTAGCCAAATATGAGAAAACGTAGAGTTTCTGTGGAAATAAATCCAGTTCTTTCCTCAATGCTCAGCTTCTATGGGTAGAAAGCAAAATATACCTGTTGAATAAATAGCTTCTTTTCTTCCTGGTTCACTGGAAATCCAGAGCCCAGTGTCAAGTGTGTTATGCTTAGTAAACTAATGAACACTGTGTGTTTTATCTTTTTGAAAAGCAAAAGCCTCTGCCCGCTGCCTGAAAAGGAGTCTCTGTGACAATCACTACACTATTCTGGGTTTGAGACAAAGACTGATGTCTTGTCCTTTTCCTTTCAGCACTGTAGATGAATATTCACCACAAAGGAAGGTAAGGCAGCGCCTTCTGTCTGAAACGGGGTGATCTGGTTTGGAGGCCTGGCCTTGGCCCACTTGGTATTTCTTCATAATTAATGAGCTGCCTCTAGCAGAGGAGGGCCAGGTGGGGAGCCGGGGGCTGCACCTTGCCTCCCCACTCCTACCTCACCTAGCTTTCCCTGTGCTTGTGCAGATTCAGTTTCAGCCAGGTGCCCTAGACTTTATGACATTCTGAATTTTTGTGGTGCGTTTTGGAGTCTCAGAGTTTCCCCAACGTCCCCAGAATGATATAAATTTGATTTTTAGTCATTGATATAAAGATAGAAAACCGTCTATGCAAGACTCTTGCCTGCAAGAGTAAGGAAGTCTTGTAAGAAGAAGGTTGGAACCCTTCAACCCAACAGAAGGAGAGTTGGTAGCCAGAATGAATGTGTTTCCCCTTCAACTTGAGGGGGGGAAATGCTACATGAGATGTCAGGCACAAGTTTTGTAGGAGCTGATATATCAGGTGATGGATAATCATAATGAATCACGTACCTGTTTCTCTTAAGCAAGTCATTGCACTACAGCAGAAGTATGAAACTATCTCGACGTGGCTTTATCCAAAAGCAAGGTTGCTGTTGGGATGGGGAAACCATGTCTTTCTCAGGAGAAGAAGCTATGGATGTTTGTAGTAGCGAGTGTTAAAAATCACGCCCATATTCTCCGGCATGTTGCAGAGAATCATTTGGGGGGCTTTTTCCCTATGCCAAGGTCTATCATGTTGCTCAGACTCTCCACCTCCACATGCATTAATTGAGGCAGCTCCCAGCTTATTCATCTAAGATTAGACGGGTGGATTTCATATTAAAAAAAAAAAACTGGCACGCTCTTTTGGAACATGTTGCAAACAGCTCTGGTTTTCCAAAGGGCAGCAATACATTGATTCATTGTTCTTGTTCTCCCTTCTTGCAGAATAAAGCCCTTTTCCACCAATTCAGTCTTAAGGAGAACTGGCTCCAGCATAGAGGAACTGTGACGGAAACAGAGGAAAGTGAGTATGGTTTGAACAAGACTCTGGGGCAGGTGGAGTAGCAGCTAATCACCATCGTTCTCCAACTTTAACACATCAGCCTGCCTTTAACCCTTTCTAGCTGCCACACCCCTAAGACACGCATGTTAGCATCCACAGTGATAGTTTTTCTTCTCTTGCTGTGGGCGTTACAGTTTCTTTATCACAGAGTGCTGCCCCAGGTAAGGAAAGGAGACTGCAAAGAGCCCCCTGCGTTCTTGGGGAGATGTGCAAAATGGACTGGAAAGGCAACCTTTCCCCTTGGCTGCCTTCTCCCCTGCTGTCAGCCCATCGCCTGTGACTCACTGGAAAGTCCCCTAAAGCCACCGTGCAGGGCTTTGGCTGAGTCAGTCCCTGAGATTTAGAGAAGAAAATCTTGGAGAAAATGATGAAAGGAAGGATGTGCAGTCGAAACTCCTCCAAGGCAAGGCTCTGCCGGGCAGTGCCACACGTCCAGTGTGTCCTCAATCAGTGCTGCTGGCAAAAGGGCTCGTGACCCACCCTGAAGAGGGCTGCTCCATCAGTGCAGGGGGAGACACCTTCGTAGCACTCTGAAAGTGCTGATGTGCTTTTTTTTAAAAAGTTTAATTAATTAAGTTATTTATTTATTTTTCTCTGTGTTGGGTCTTCGTTGCTGCACGCAGGCTTTTCTCTAGTTGCGGCGAGCGGGGGCTACTCTTTGTTGTGACGCACGGGCTTCTCATTGCGGTGGCTTTTCTTGTTGTGGAGCACGGGCTCTAGGCGCACGGGCTTCAGTAGTTGCAGCAGGCAGGCTCAGTAGTTGCGGCTCGCGGGCTCTAGAGCACAGGCTCAGTAGTTGTGGTGCATGGCCTTAGTTGCCCTACGGCATGTGGGATCTTCCCGGACCAGGGTTGGAACCCACGTCCCCTGCATTGGCAGGCGGATTCTTAACCACTGGTCCACCAGAGAAGCCCCTGGCGTGCTTTGCTACGTTACTGTTTTATAACGGAACTAGAAATGGTTTCCTCCTGTTTAGATAAAGGTTGAGTCCAGGGCAGAGCTGGGAAACACAGCAATTCAAATGTGCATGCTATTGTGACTTGGAGACTTTCTCTTTTAATTCGCCTTTCCCGACAGCGCTGAAATTTTAGGTGTGGACGTTGAATATTTATTCAACTTATTGAATGTTTAAACAACAAAATGTCACAGGATACCTCTTCTGTTCCATTGTTTGTGTATAACCAAACATGATGGCACTCGCTGGGTCGTAAGTGTCACCTGTACCAAGTGGAGGAACAAATGGAATGACCTTACCTCCTCATCTCTCAGTTGCTGACCTTCCTTTCCCATTTGTCTTACAATTAATTGTATAATTTTCCAAGCTGAGTTTCAAAGAGTCTGAGTATTTCAAGACCTCCCCCCTCCTCTTTTTGTTTATCATCTTACTGAGCAGGCTGTAAACTTTCCTCACATTTAGTAGTTTGTAGACTGCAGCTTTGCCTTGCTCCAAAATGCCGTCTTTTTGTGGAAGGAAAAAAACATTTTGTGTCTCACAAGTCTGTTGACAACACATAAAACAGCTATTTGTTAGATGCTATGGTTTTAGTGACACACCCAACCAAAACCAAAACAAAATACTGTCAGTGCCTCTTGGTGGCGTGTTTACTTTGAGGTTTGTACTAGTAAACCCCTAGTTTGTCTTTTGCTTCATTTGCATTTCTGTGCAAACATTCCTGGGTTTATTTCTGTGGTGCCATTTAAATTGCATATGAAATTTCTCTAGGACCTGCACTACCCATTTTTTTTTTTTTTTTTTTGCAATCTAGAAGAGAAGAATATATTATTGTCCTTCTGTCTTTAGTAAAGAAGCTGGTGTTTTATACATTCAGAATGGCAGATACAAGAGACAAATAACGTGTCAGTTATTTCCATTGCTACAGTTTCTTCTATTAAATCATAAAGAAACATTTTTTCCAGGGCCCATTCACCCTGATAGTGATAATGTCCTAGTAATAATGATTAGTACCACAGACAAGAAAAAGGAAATTAAAAAGGCTGGAAATGTGACCTCCATTTGAAAACTAAACTCACTACCACCTTGATATGGGTGGAGGGACGGCACGCGGAGGTTCATTCTTATACGAGCAGGAAGGCTGAAGCCAAAAACCATAGCAAGTGACAGATTTTTTAGATAAGCTTATGAGAATTCAAATAACAAAATGTGGTGGTCTTTACTGAGCCACTGTGCCTGTCCAGAGGTGAAGTGTAAAACAAAAATGTTTGAATTAGACGCTTTAATAGACTGCTTTGGGAGATCACAGTAACCCTCACAGAAGGGACTCCGAAGTCTAGTCCCTGTTGCACAGATCCCACTGTGTTGTGGCCAGGCTGCCTCTACCCTGAGCAGACGCTTTTGCATGGTGTGGGTCTCTCACTACAGTATGGGATGCTTAAGCACTACTCCACCTTGCTCAGCAGCTTTATCACGTCTCCGTCTCACGTGTGTGCAGGCTCGCATTGCTGTGCCCTCAGGCACCCGTGTGCACACATATATATGTAAATCTAGCTGTGTCTGCTCTGTACTACAGGGAATAGTGTGGCGGGTGCCTTGATTTGGGTGAAACGTCTGTGCCTCATGGCCACAGCTGTTCTCTGTCTACTCACAGTTCTTTCACCTCATGTAGTTTTCTGTCACGTGTATATCACGGAGCACTCCTATGTCAGCGTGAAGGCAAAAGTTTCCAGTACAGCCCAAGAGATCCTGAGAGTTGTGGCGGAAAAGATCCAGCACGCGGAAGAGGATCTGGCTCTGGTAGCCGTCACATTCTCTGGGGGTAAATTATTTTCTGTCTTTGAATATTAATCTTTCACTGGATTGCCTCCAGAAGGAGAGAGTTGACATTTTTATGGAGTAGATGTGCAGCGCGTCCCTTCTGGGTCTGCAGCTGGATGAGCACTCTAACAAGAAGAAGCCACCTACCAGAGGTGTTTCCATGACAACAGTTGGGTACCGTTGGATGCTGAATTTCCTCCCCAAGAACTGAGCAGAGAGGCGCGCCAGTGTTTTGAAATATATTATAAAGCTTTACATATTTTGTACTCTAGATAAGCCTTCTGTTTTCATATTTAAATTAACTTGGGAAATTGCTAAAGGATGAAATTACTTTCTGAAGAAAAAAGAAAGGCAGCCTTGAACTAGTCTTTTTGCTGGCTGACAGTTTAATACTTAAAGACTCCCTGTTGAAGGAAATAAAAACTGTACAATAAGCCGAAAGCTCATAGGCAGTGTTCCTTCAGGCAGACGTGGGGAGGGAGCCCTGGTTATAGTTTTTGCCTCTGTTGGGCCTTATTTATCCTCAGAGAATGGTTTATTGTCTGTTTTGAATAAGATCACACAGATTACAAGCTGATACTATTGATCTGTGTGACCCGAACAGACCCCTGCGTTTTCACTGGAGCCTGTCAGATCTCAGTGTCACTGGCCTCCTTTTTTGGCTTACGATCTTTATTTAATATCTCATTAACCCTGAGAAAAATACAAAGAAAGTGACTTAGTCCCAGTAGTTGAAAAATGGGAGTACTGTGTAAACTAATCAGCCAGAGATGGGGCGGGCCGGGGAGGGGGGAGCAGATAAAGGGCATTCCTGTTTACCCTTTGTTACCATTCTAGAGTCAGGAGAAGAAGATCAGAATGTATTGTACTTGATGCGAAAGCATTATGTGATGGAGCATTGCCTCTTTCGCTTTGTTACTCAGAGGCAGGTAAAATGGGCCTACAAGCTAGTTGATTACATATTCAAACAAATACAGCCCATCTCCCCTGTCCTAGTTAAGTGAGGCACTCCTTCCTCTCCCTGGGCGTTGTGCCTCCCATCAAAACATTCTCTAAAGAAAAAGAGCAAAAATTTCAGAAACATGTGGACTACATGAATTTTAATCAGGGAGTAGTTGAATGTTTAATAAAATATATTAGGTATTCCAGATAAATATGATATTTGTATATTAATTTTAAGTGACCAAAGATATTAAATGATTCTAAACAGCATTAAGCTTCATCAAAATCAGCATGTGCCTCTCAAGGCAATACCATAACAGAAAGTAATCATTGGGTCTCCATGCAGACAGAAGGTGCTGGAGAAAGAAGGACCCTGAGAGAACCTGGTGGCACAGCTGAGACCCACACCCCCTTGGAGGCCGACTCAGAGTCGGCCCAGGGCCACACGTGAATCTGGGAATTAATGAGTGGGTCTTTTACTACCCAATATCTATTTGATGGCTGTGAAATACGATTTTTACACCCTATTAGATTCATCTGTCGTTCTAATGTGTATAGACTCATAGCGAATCATCACTAGCAATGTCAGTTTATCTCTTGAATTATCTCACAGGTTTGGAAATATGCCGTCATTTTCCATCAATTAGTAGTTTTGTCTGTTAAGAACCTTTCTGCCTGCTGCTTCATATCCCCCAAGCAATAATGTTCTTATGAAGAAAAAAAGCCCACAGAGCTTAATGTATTCCTTGCTCTAGTTACGTAATTTTTAATAAATGTTTTAAATGCTACATCAAAATGAAATGACAGTGAGATCTACAGTTATTTTCTTTTTGTTAAAAAAAAGTTTAGAGATATTGGCCATGTTGTAGGTTTTGTGGACTTTTCTAAAAGGACTGGTATTATTACCCTCACAGCTTTCAGTAGGTTTCCAGCTGTTTTGTACCCAAGTTAGGTATATATGTATGTAGTAGCAGAAACCTACCCAGTTACTCAGAGCTTAAAATCCTTTCATCGTTCATGGTGTAGTGACAAATCTGAAAGTAAGAAAAACACTTCTTAGCAAATGGGAAAATTTACTGTCTGAAAGCCAAGGCATTTGCAGAATGCAAATTCCATAGCAAATGCAGAATGGCTCTTACAAAGTCAGATTTAAGGTATATATGGGCACACAGAGGGTTGCAAGAAATTGTAGCTAAAGAGGGAGGAGATAGAAGAACGTCAGAGCCCGGCCATGTGGGACCATTTACTGCCGACGTCAACGGCCCGACATGACAAATACTACTTATCTTTGCAATGCTGGGCCATAAAGAATGTATTCGAGTATCATTTGTGTACTCTGTGTCAAACAGAAATGTTCAAAACAAAATCTGGCGCTTGAACTGATTATCTAGAAAAAGAGATGTGGCATATGGTATTTCCAACCATGCTGGGTAACTGGAGGGCTACCTTAGGAGAGGCTGATTATGTCACAGTGGAATAAAGTTGAGTATCACTTTGGTCGATTCCCGTCTGCATCTTGTAGGTGGGGGGAGGACGTTTTTCTATGAGAAGCCTATTGTGTTATATAAGAGTCCAACTATGGTAGAAAAATGGCCAAAGGACAGGAACAATAGGGGAATAAAATAGAAGTAGAATAGATGAAAAAAAAAAAAGAATAGATGAAAATATTCACCTTTACTAGTAGTCAAGAAATGCAAAGTAAACCGAGAATCTATTTTTGATTTTAGCAAAACAGTAAACTTATTCAAAAGAATGGTGAGCGTTGGTGGGTGTAAGGATTGGAAAGCAGTTTGGCAGCTTGTATCAAAAACTTTAAAAATGTTCCTTCGCTTTGACCTAGGAATTCCACTACTGGGAATCTATCTTAAGAAAATCATCTATAAGCAGCCAAAGATTTATGCACAAAGATGTTGACTTTGGCAGTATATATATGGCTGCTGTAATAATAGATCCCATTTATCAAACCCCTGTTATGTGCTGGTCCCTGTGCTAGTATTTAGCATGGTTCTTGCCATCTAATTTATATGACCAAAAAAAACTGGAAACCATTAAATGTTCAACAACAGAGGAAAGATTAAATGATGGCATAATAGACAGTTATATAACCAATTACACATGACATGACATTATAAATAATTTTGACAAGTGGGTAAGTACTTAAAATAGAAATATAAAACCACATAAGGAATAATTACAAATACATGTATCTATAGTGATTGTTAATGCAAACATATAAATAATAATTTTGACCATACGTACATGTGTGCACACACATATTTGCATAAAGATCAGGATGGAAATATACTCAACTGTTACCAATATTACTATCATATGGTTACTTTAGAGTGATGGGATTATGAATGAATTTTACTTTCTTCCCTAAGCTGTTCTGTGTAAAGAATGACTAAATATTATAAGAATGAATCACAGAGGGTACCTCTTTATGGATTATGAGCATTGATTTTCTGGTATCATTGTATAGCATATGCAGAACTGAATTAAATCTACTTCACATCCCATTTATTTTTAAATATTTTTCTTTGGCAAATTTCACTCTTTAGATGTACTGTGAATGCCTACTAGGTGTTCTTGTGTTTCTAATTACTCTTTTTTGTAAATAAAGAAAAGCATGAACTTCAGCCAAATGACTTGGCCATCTCCAAATCCCTTGAAGCATCTGGTCGGATATATGTCTACCGGAAAGACCTGGCTGACACTTTGGTGAGTACCTTTAGCCTTGTACTTGAAACACACAGACCCAAACGTCAGACTGAGACCATGTATTTGTATGTTTTAAAATGAATGTTAGAAAAATACATCAAGCTGTTTCCTCCTGTAGTCAACAATACACTTTTCAAACAACACTGCGTTTGCAAATCAAAGGCAGGCCCATCTTTAGGGACTCTCAACCCCTCCTAAGTCAAACGCTATTTCTCTCTGAGTCCCTGTGAAACAAGGGATTTGAGAGATGTGACTCTTTCTCTGATGGAATCTTAATTCTATTCTTCTTTTTTGGTGGCTCTATGGAGGTTAGGCTGAGGACCGCATCCTGTGTGGATTTAAAGGGAAAGAGACTCTGTCCTTAGTTCCTGTCCACTGGGTACACTTTGAGTGTGCCATTCCTTTGAAGAAAGGGTGGATGGTTAGCCTTCCCTGTGTAAAATGGCACCTAACAGTGCAACATCAGATGCCACTGAAGTGTAAGCGTATGAAGAAATATAGAACCCACACTGTATGTTATTTTCCGTCCTAAATTTAAGAACACTTACGCCTAACTAGATGATTTGTTGTTGTTCCTAAAAACCTTGGTCTCATGGTTGCTTTCTCAACGGTAGGGTCAGGCCTCAGATCCATCGCCCATAAAAAGTGGGCTGTACCAGATCGTGATTGTATCATCCAGACTCATGGTCCTGGTCTGTTCCGTGGAGTCATCACAAGGATGGGTCTTTCCATCTGGCTCCTGTTGTATATATAATGGAGGAATCTGTATGCCATGTGGCTTAACCAAAACTGCTTATAATAAAAGTATCTTATGTAAAATTATCTGCAAGATATCAAGCTACCATAATGACATTAGTCACTGTTATCTTCACACTTTCTACCAGACACGTATGTACTAAGTAATTTACATACAGTATGTCATTTAACCTTCCTGCTAACCTTGTGAAGTTCAGATAGGCTGAGTGACTTGCTCTAGCTTCCCACAGCCAAGCCAGGGAGAGGGCTAGGATTTCATTCCAGTTATATTTGACTCTGGAGCTCCTGCACCTTCCTCCTTGTACATCGTGAGGGAGAAAAGGAGAGGGAAACCCTTTGTCTTACTTGGGATTTCCCGATGCTGGGTGTCCTTCTGCAGGTCACCAGGCCTGTGTACATGATGTAATTATACGATGGAATTACACGATGTAATTCCACCAGTGAAACTTGACAGACAGGATGCTGCACAGCATCTTTGAGTAGATAATGAGATTGATGTGACTGCCCGCCACCCTCCCCCACACCTTGTGAAGGAGGAGAATCTAATATGCAGTTGCCCTAGGCTCCTGGTGATGGAAGGACCCACACTATAATTGTCTCCCACCGCCCAGCCCTCACCCACCACACACAGACCCCTCATGCGGTTCCCTCGTGTGCACTCCCAGAGCGCTCTTCTGCTGCGGTCGAGGGCCTCGGAAGAGTAGAGGGCAGGCCTGGGGCAGTGTCTTGTGGGATAAACAGGTGCTGTGAATTCCGAGTTGAGCCAGATGCTATCCTGTACTCGGATGCTTCCCCCACCAGCTTTTTGCACCACCTAAAAGTTTCCCATTGGAATCAAAGTTTAGGTGATTTCATCTCCAAAAGATTTCAGTTGAAGTGGAACATTGCAAGGGAAGGATAACATGTGAAACCACTCATATCCACTGTGCTTGTGCATAGATTAGCCTTCGTGGAAAGCAGGAATCATAGCCCTGAATGAATGGAATAGAGAAATAGAAAGTGTTTCTTGGAGAGGGCAGTGGACTACCTGAGTAACCAGAGGGCAGTGCCAGGATAAGGGGCACATTTAGGGAGAAAGTAGGAGGGATAAAAAGCCAAGTGAAAATACCCTTACACCTCCAAATTACTAAGCAGAGATCTGTGTTACTTCCCAACTCGTGGCTCTTTGAGTGTCTGCAGTGCAGCCTGGTGTCCATCTGGTCCCAATCTAGCCAGACCAATTCCTGAGAAACCTGGGCTCTCCCCCACCTCAGTGTTCGCATGCACGTCATTCATTTAGCCCTTACTGAGTTCCACTCCATATCCACACTGGGGGTACAGGGACAATTTGTACCTAAACCTACTCTGAAGAGAATCAAGTCTGTGGAAAAGCTTGTGAAGGTCTTTTGTCATTTTTTTAAATTAGGAAACCTTTACATAAATATAAGAATTTGAAAATGCTAATAATTTATTTTGCAGTTCAAAAAATAGAGACTAATATTTGGATTCTGAAATGTTCCCTTTATCCTGCTATGGCATTTATGTTTGCAAAGTCCCCTTCTTTTTTTTCCCAAGCCATTAACTATTTTAACGTCATTAGCTGTTCAAGTCAGATGAGAGAATTTATATCTTAATTGGAAAATATCAAATATTTTTAAAAGGTGCCAGATAATTTTAATACATTTAACAGTGACAATAGATTTAAAATTGTGGTGGCATTTAATAATTTTACATCAGATTTTAAGGAAATACTATTATTACCAAACTCATATCCATTTGTATAGGGAAAGCAATTGATACTTTAAAATAATCATCCATTGGGCTTCCCTAGTGGCACAGTGGTTGAGAATCTGCCTGCCAGTACAGGGGACACGGGTTCGAGCCCTGGTTTGGGAAGATCCCACATGCCGCGGAGCAGCTAGGCCCGTGAGCCACAACTACTGAGCCTGCGCGTCTGGAGCCTGTGCTCCGCAACAAGGGAGGCCGCGATAGTGAGAGGCCCGCGCACCGCGATGAAGAGTGGCCCCCGCTTGCCGCAACTAGAGAAAGCCCTCGCACAGAAACGAAGACCCAACACAACCAAAAATAAAATAAATAAATTTTTTAAAAAACAACAAAAAAACCAAAAAAACTATTCCCTTAAAAAAAAAAATTTAAAATAATCATCCACCATGGTATAAATGAAGTAACTTATTTTTTATTTCCTGTTTAAAATTTTTTTTTTTTGCTTTCCATGGGCATTTTAATAAATTTGTAAATGTATGTCTGGGATGAGACTCGTCAAACATATTTTCTGTAAAAGCCATGTCTGTCTTTATTGAAGTGCACTGTGACATTTCTTTTGTTTGTTTTTATACTCACCCTGCTGGCACATTAATTCTTACCAGAAGCCAGAGTGACTTCAGGGCTTTTACTTTCATTATGTTGTCTGCCCGGGGCAGTGTTTTATAATCAGATTTGTGTGTGTGTGTGTGTGTGTGTGTCGGGGGGAGGGGCAACTCAGTGAAGTATCATTGATCACATTCTCCGGCTTCCAAGGCTGTTTGCTAAATTGGTTGTAACTCACAGAAAGTGAACGGACCAGGGAAAATATTAAGTGCACTCAGACAAGAGTTTTTTTCTAATGTGGGCTTCGAATGCCTTTCGATAGCCAGACAATTCAGTGCCAAATATTTTGGAATTGACTGAGGATTCTTTTACTTTTGTCTGTCACCTTAGAATCCTTTTGCAGAAAATGAAGAATCACAGCAAAGGTCGATTAGGATTTTGGGAATGAACACTTGGGATATTGCTCTGGAATTAATGAATTTTGATTGGAGCCTCTTCAATTCAATTCACGAGGTAAGTAAGAAGGGAAATGATAAAATAAATGCTTGTGCCAGTATAACTGTGAGTTCTTTTTTGAAGAATATTTGTTTGTGACTGGGTTTTAAGAAGATCCATCATCTGGTGATCTAGTTATGCTTTAGGATACCATGGCCCCAAAATATTTGGGGACTTTAAATATATTAAAAGACTGACCCAAACCTAGGAAAATCAGAATACATGATCATGCTTTATTTGCACCTAATATTGTACAATCGGATATTTGTGTTAATGTAGTATAAATATGCTATTTTTTTGTTTGAAAACATGTATTCATATATATATATATATATATGAAGGTCTAATGGGGTGGAAGAGACATTTTATATTCGATACCTTTGATATTGACATTTTTATTTTTCCATGAGCTTTACAGAGCTTTACAGTACTTATATGAGAAACACATTTATGTATGTACCTACATGCACACTCACACATTCCCAAGAACATTCTATACATTTAGACTATGGTGCAAGACTTCAAGTACTCTATTGAAAATTTTGAGATATATTTCAAATTTGTATGTCCATCAACCTCTCCCTTGAGGACAGCTTAAACATTTATAAAACAGTAGATGCGGGGCAACATGCTACTGACATTTGATGAATAAATGTAGCTGGTGGAAAGGCTCACAGGAATCAGGAGATGAAAAACGAGGCAGCTCTGTGCTACAATATGTTGCATTTACTTTGCTGTGTAGTGAAATGTTTCATTACAAGAAGGCCTTTCCTCTTGAAGAAGGAACTCGTGCCCAATTTAGGGACCCCCAAGCTTCACTTTCACTTTGGAACGTTTTTTAAATGTCCTCATATTTTCTCACTGACAACATTCCAACCTGATGATCTGAATTTGAGCAAGTAGTGAACTCGTTCAAGCTAAATGACTTGTGACTTTGCAAATGGTAGTAGAGTGGGATGTGTCCCTGCTTATGTGCTTATGCAATAGGAGAATGTGAATTACTCCTGTAAAATATACATGCACACCCCTCCGGTTAGAAACACATCTCTTTGCTTTGCATGTGGTCAGTCTATGTCACTAGTTACTGGTCTGACTCGATTTTGTCAGTTTTGTACCTTGTCCTAATCTTGCTGTCTTTCTGTGATTTGACGATGTCTTATGTCAGTGGTTCTCAAAGAGCGGGTACCCAGACCAGCATCATCAGCACCCCTGGGAGCTTGTTAGAAATGCAGATTTGGGCCAGAGCACAGACCTACTGACCCAGAAAATCTGGAGGGTGGGGCCCAGCAATCTGTGCTTTAACAGGCCTCCAGGTGATTTGGATTCACACTGAAATGTAAGAACCCTTGTCTAGAGAACCTACCTGTGAGGGCCTAATGTAATGATAGTCGTTTGCACTTGAAGTTGCTCATAGAACAAGTCTGGGAAGTTTGGATTTGATTCAGCCTGTGACTTAAACTTTAGAATGTCTTAGGTTTTCACGAAAAGTGTCATCCTTGCATTCTAAAAAATTACAGTTATGTAAGGCTTCTGTGTGAAGGCTTTTCTGGAAGTCAAGATAAATTATCTTGAATTTAATATATTGTTATTTGTTATATCTAACATGTTATGATATGACAGTGCCTACCTGAAGTAGCTCTTAAAAATGAATTGAATTTTGTATCAACTTGACTCTGTGCTACAACAATAAACAATTGTATGAATACATTGTCTTTCAGCAAGAGCTGATCTACTTCACGTTCAGCAGACAAGGAAGTGGGGACCACACAGTGAACCTGAGCCTCCTACTCCAGAGATGCAATGAGGTCCAGCTCTGGGTGGCCACGGAGATTCTGCTCTGCAGCCAACTGGGCAAGAGAGTGCAGCTGGTGAAAAAATTCATCAAAATTGCTGCTCAGTGAGTTTCTAGTGGTAAAAAAATGCAGTTCTTCTCCCCTCTTTGAGAGGGTACATTATTTTCCTTGTGATGATAAGAAGGGATGAGATGCAAAAGGGTACTATTGAGTTAAGTGACCAAATGATTGAAAAGGTCTCTTTTTGAATATTTCTCTCTTCGCCTTTGAAGTATTTATATCTTAAAGTAAAGGTCAAAATACTAGACCAAAGCACTCTGCTCTATGCTGTAGAAAAAAGCAGGCAGTGCACACATGCCCCATCGTGCAGCTAAATTACCCTTGTAGCCAGGTGAGCTACAGTAGGTTAGGAAAATGGGGGAAGGTGATGTGAGGGGGGTGAGAACCATTGAAAGTCAGATGCATTTCAAGATTCTGCTTTTGGCTCCTTGATGCCCAGAGTATGAACTTTGCAAACTCCTTAGCAGGCCCTGCACTGTCTGGTCACACCTGACCTCTGAGCCTCACCCCATGCTGCAGCCACTGTAAATGGCTCTCCCTTTCCCATGCACACCATCATCCAAGCCTGGACATGTGTTGTTAGCTCTGCCAAGAATGGCCACTTCTACCCAGCAAATTGCTATCCTTCTTCAAGACCTAGGTCATATGTTGCTTCCTTCCTCAAATCATCCCTGACTTTCAAATGCAGGGTCAACTCCTTTTTACCCTGACCTCCCCCTACCATGCACACGTTTTTTTTTTTTTCCTTTTTTAAAAAACTTCTTTATTATTATTGATTAAACTTACCTTTTTTTTTTTTTTTTTTTCCGATACGCGGGCCTCTCACTGCTGTGGTCTGTCCCGTTGCGGAGCACAGGCGCCGGACGCGCAGGCTCAGCAGCCATGGCTCACAGGCCTAGCCACTCCGCGGCATGTGGGATCTTCCCGGACCGGGGCACGAACCCGTGCCCCCTGCATCGGCAGGCAGACTCTCAGCCACTGTGCCCCCAGGGAAGCCCTAAACTTACCTTTTTATATAGAATTCCTTCAGTGGACTGTGTTGGCTTCCAAAGGACAGGGACCATTTCTAATCAATCACTGTACCTGGGGTGCCTGGTACTGAACTTGATAAATAGCAGTGACTCAGTAAAGTCAGTTGAATGACATTCTAGTAACTTCCTGGGAGCATCTCTTAAAATACCAGATGAATATTCTGAAACCACTCTTGGGACAGCTTCCCAACAGAAACAGGCAACATGAATCAAAATCTTTCCCAGTTCCTTCTACCTTCCAGTCTTCCCTTTTTTTTTTTCCTTTGTTTTTCAAAGTAGTTTTTATATCAAACCGTTTCTGAGTACATGTCAGTGTAATATATGTAGGAAATATGTATTGATCACTCATTAATGTTTGCACATCCATGCAGGGTATTGTGGGGAAATCAGAGTGAGCCTGCACCCAATCGGCTGGGGGGATACTTTCTATAACTCAAATGTCTAATTTGCAAAATAGAACCTGAGGGTGCCCTATTATGAGATGAATTTCTTTCAGGGGCTTTAGAGGATGGGAAGCTTATATGCCAAGGGTGTGGGAAAGGAGGATTAGAAAACCATTTGGAAGAAAGTAGCATTTTGAATTCTGGGTATGAATTCAAAAGAGCACACTGTCCGTGGAGGTCAGACTCATGAGAGAGAAGCAAAGCAGTTCATTGGAGGCAGAGAGCATGTGGTCAGAGAAAGGAACCTCATCCAGTTTGGCCAGAGTGGAAGGTATTTGTAAGGAAGTTGTGGGAGACTGATCTAAAAAGGAAGGTGGGACCAAATTGTAAAGGATGTTGAATTTCAGAATGAAAAGTTTAGACTGAATTGAGAAGGTGGTAGGGATTCTTTGAAAGTTTTTGTGCAGGAGATGGATATGATCAAAGTTGTCCCTCAGGAAGGTTGATCTGAAAGTAGCACGTAGACTGAACTGTCGGTAAGGAGACCCCAGAAGCAGGATATTTTGTTTACTTAGGTGAGAGATAATGGCGGTTCCTGACCTGGTGTTTGATGTGACTGGTGATGGAAGGAGAGATAGATAACAGATATGCCTAAATCTTGGACTACTTTTATGATGAATGCTCCTTTTTTGTTTGTTTGGCCAGTACATTTTCTATAATAGCCTGTGACATTCTTAAATGTGAGGCTCTTTGGGATCAAAAACTTTCTTATAAATGCCAGTTGCTTGGTGAAATGGGACATGAATGTCCTAAGGAGTAAAATGACACCGCATAGCTTAGTTCCCAGTATAAGATTATATCTGTCCTCAGGGAAATGAAATATGTATATTCACATCTTCTCCATATGGCCCCATGCTCTTGAATTGTTTGCTGTACTGGTCTCTATCCCTGGCCCATAGAATAGAATGCCAACAGAAACACAAAGTTAAATTCTTCATAATCATACTGGTAGGAATAGCCAAGAGAAAACAATCATGTCGGCGATCATGAAGTGTCTTCCCTGCCTAAGGCATCCTATTTGCATATTCATGTTTCCTTCCTTCTTACCAGTCCCATCCCCCCACCTCTGTGGGTTGAGTGGATTTTATTTCCTTACACAAAGGAGTGTTAGACTGACACTAAACTGGAATGTTTTAGTGTCAGTCTGTTCTTACCTTGAAATGAACGAACCTTGGTAAAGGAAGATTCCAGATGGGAATGGTAACCCATATTTGTACTGTATCAATTTGTCTTATAGAGAAATCATTTCTATATTAATTTTTTTTCTTTTTACAGATTCAGATGTTAGGTATATGTGGGTTTTTGTTTTTGTTTTTTTAAGTATGACTAAAAAAGAGATCTGAACCAGGAAAATTGTTTATGGGGAGATAAAAGATAAAAAGATGAGACTTATATGTAAGATTTTGTGTAGGTAAATGATTCTGAATACGAAGAAGAAGAATAAACTTTTTATAATGACTAATAATAAAATGATTTCCCCGAAAAGTCTTGTTTTCAGCTCCGGCAGTTGCTGTCTGAAAGGTTTGCTGTTTACTCTGCGTTTGAGTGATGGGCAGAGTATAAAAAATGTCTGGTGGGCCATGACAGAACCAGTGGGGCTTCCATCATGCAGTAAGGTGGGAGGACTGGGAATAAGGGGAGGGCATCCAGTGCCTCTGGCATAGGGATGGGGCACTTCTCTCTGACCTCAGCGTCTTGGCAGGGGAGCCTGGCATCATCTCATCAAGAGATGGAGCTGACTCAAGTCTCTTCTGGCTGGTGTGAACTTGCCAGGGTGTGATGAGACAGAAGGGGCGGAATGAGGGAAGAGAGTGGCGGAAGGGAAGCAGAGTTGTAGTGTTGATGCCTTTAGGCACCAGTTTCTCAGAAACAGGAAGATTTCTGAACCATAGACCAGGGAAGTGTCCTGTTTGTTTGTTCATGGAATATACCTGGGTATGTCTACCCAGGAGACAGTTGGCAGAAACCAGCGAAAGGGGCCAGTTAGACTGAATTTCAGGTCCTCTTGCCTACCGGGGAACTATAGGCAGAGTCCAAAGCTGGACAGGAAGACTGAAAGGAACAGACCATGCCCAGTGGAGACTCGGCAGTGAGGGGCTTGCAGGACTGTGTTCACCCAGGTATTTTGGACACTAGGTGCATAGGCAGCAGTGCCTTTCCAGGTTCCCCTGTTAGTGGAGCTAGAATTTCCAAAATGCTCCCAAATGGCTGACCCCCACTGCTTTGGTACCCACGCGCAGCTGTACTGGGCAGTGTCCAGTCCATGAGGCTGGCTCTGGGAACAGGCAGGTTTAGGCAGGACTGGCCAGGGCACAGCCACCTCTATGTATTACCACTTTAAGAGCCGAAAACAGTTTCCTGGTTCTGAATCAATGCTCCTGTACACACCTGTGCGACTGGAAATCAGTATAGTTTTGAGAGACAGAAGTTTTTAATATGTGTTGAGAACCTTTAAAGTCATGATAGCTTTTGATCAATCATGTAATGACTGGAAGTCTAACTTAATTTTAGAAAATCATAAATACAGTAAAAAGTTTTTTTCACAGAAGATATTTATTGTAGCATTTTACATTGATTTGAACTGTATTGAATTGAAAATAGTTTAAATGTCTACAACAAGGGAATAAGTAAACAAATTATGAAATACGTTTTTGATGAAGTGTTCTGTAACCATTAATGATAACAGTGAAGAATCCATAATATATTATATAACATGGTATAAAACTGAAAAATCGGGATAGAGTTGTATATACACTGTTCCCAAATTCCATTTGAGACATTGATGGAGATGTCATGGAAGAGATGACATGTGAGGGCAGCTCGATCAACACACACTAGGGACTTTTTATGCCTCTGGCTTACTGCTAAGCACTTTCATCTTTTTTCACATTTAATTATTAAGTCAGGGTAATTTTTAAATTTTTAAATCTTTCCTCAGAGAAGTCGTTTTCTAATACATCCCAGATTAAGGAATATCTGGAATTCACAGGCTGTTCCGGCCAATCTGGAGGCACACCCTTCCCTCTGCTGCCTCAAGCCCCTCTGCTGGCTTTGAAAATTAATGGAGTTTTGACTGATTAAGTTGAAGGGCAAGATTGACGTTCTGCAGAACATGTAACCTTCCAGAGTGAATGGAGCTCAACATGGTCTTATTTTGCATTTTATTTCCTTTATTCCTTAAATGAGAAATGTGAGTCGCCGTCCCCGTAATATATGCCACATTTTAAATACATACATAACATAGTAGCTATTTTGTTGAGAGCAAAGAAAATATGTCTAAGTGTAACGGGAGGGGGCCCTGTGAGGTAAGAGGGCCTTGTTTCTCAAAAAAGAAAGACAACATACAGATTAAAGATACAGAATCAGGGGATGTTATAATGAGTATGGGATATATACAGAAATATGAATGTAAGAGCTTTCAGTTAAAATTGTCAATGCATCCAAAATAGATTTTTAAAAGGGAGGAATCTTTTGAAGTATCCAGAGGGTATCAAGAACACAGATCTTTTCCTAAAGGTAAGGAAGCATTTGGAATCCTTTCATTTGTGTTGAGGGGATACCGCCCCATCCCACAGGAACAGTCAAGACTGTGTAGGTCACAGAGCAGAGTTCAACCCTGCCCTAGAGGTTGAACTCTGTGGCCTGGGAGAGTCTTGGCAGCTTTATCTTTTGTGATCATCTGGTGAAAGGATGTTGCCTCAGAGTGCCTTCTGCTTTCTTTTATTCCATAGCTGCAAAGCCCAGAGAAACCTGAATTCTTTCTTTGCTATTGTGATGGGTCTCAACACTGCTTCTGTCAGCCGGCTGTCCCAGACCTGGGAGGTGAGCCCTGGGGGTCCATACGGAGGGTGGAGTTGGGGACAAATAAAACTGAACGGGAAGTGGTCCAGCTAACAGTCTTTATTTAAAATAAACGGTTTAAATGAGATATGTAGCACTAGAAAAAAATGTTAAAAAATTAGTGTCTCAAGTCGTCAGGAGCTATTTTCATCAAATGGTCTTCAAAATGGTTCTATAATATATATGAAAGAAACACAACTTGTAAAATGCTTCCCAGCTAGAATTAGTTTTCTGCTTTTCTCCTGTGATGGCATTGTTACAGTTCCCTGTTGGTCATTTCAAAAGCTCACCTGTGTGTCCAGAAGCAGATTTGCAGAGATGCTAATGAATTTAAGCTACCAGTCTTCTCACTTGTGGGGCCTCTGGCAGTATGTTCATGTGGATGATGGATATCTTTACAAAATCTGCAAAAGTAATTTTATATTCCTTTTTCCTAAAGAGGACTCACAAAATGTTTTAAGTTTCGGGCCTCCCCAATCCTGGCTCTGCCTGTCAGGGCTGTATGATGAAGGCTGTTTGGGTTCGAAGTGGGAGAGGGCCACTCAAGTTAGCGCACGTTCTGAAACGGGGACTCTGAGGGTCTACGTGGGAAGAATGGAAACTGGGGTGTCCCTAAATGTAGCCAGACACGGATGTAGGGCCCTCTGCCTCCCCCATGACCCCGACACCTTCTTTCTTTGGGCTTGCGTTTCTTTCTCTCTCCATTCGCTACTGACTCTGTACCTAATTCCCCGTACCATTTCTCTCTCTCTTGTCCTTCCTCTCTCACCGTCAAGTCTTCTCCCTTACGGGTCCAGCCTGCTGTGGCTCGCTGTGGCTCCCTCGGCCTCTCCCCACCCTCTCAGATTCAGCTGTTCTTCCTGCCTACCCTGCACTCTTCATGGTCCCCAGTTCACACTCCTGCAGGAGAGAAGCTGACAGGCCAACTGTTGTTTTTCTCACATTCCATCTCAGCGACGGTCTGTGGGCAGCTTTGGGGTTCACCTTCTTTGCGTCAGGGGCCACACTCTGATGGAATGCGCGGTGGTGACCTGAGGGTCAGGGTCAGTGCTCCTTAAAGGGGTTCAAAAGAAAAGCGACAAAAGGCTTGCATCTCTGGTTAAGCAAACCAGATGCGCACACACTTCATGAGATTCAAGGAGGTGGGCAAAAAAAGCCACAGTTGATCAGAGAAGGAGGAAAACAAGTGGCTAGCAAGGGTCCGGGCAGGAGAGTGGAATTTTAAATTATACCCGGAAAGAAGGCTTGATCTGCAAACATTGAAAGGAGAACAATTCAATGAAATTCACATAGTGTGTATTTCACGTGCACAGTGACCGCCTGCCACGTGCGCAGCTCTGCATCAATGCCGTGGCAGGTGGAACGTGGCCAAATTAGCACAGGGTGTGCTATGGTCAAGGAGGTCTTGAACTGGTTCCAGGTGGACCCCAGCAGAGCAATGGAGGAATCATGCTGTCTCAGGGTGGCTGAAAAGCCTCAAGCAGCAGGGCCTTGGAAGTTGAGCCGGGAGTTGCTGGGGGCACTGGGGTGGGCCTCCCTCGCAGAGGTGAGCTCCGTGTCTCTAGGCCTGGAAAGTGATCGCACTGTCCTACATAGGCAGTACAGTAAAAGAAGTCGGTTTAAGGAACTAAGACAGAGGTCAACAGACATTTTGGGGAAAGAGCCAGATAGTGAATACTTTTAGGCTGTGCAGGCCATGTGGTCTCCACCGCTGTGACTCATCTCTGTCATTGAGGTGCAAGAGCAGCTATGATTAGTTGATAAATGATGAGCATGGCAGTGCTCCAGTAAAACTTTATTTGCAAAAGCAGATGGTCAGATTTGGCCCACGGCTGACCCCTGGAGTAGATAAGTTTGGCTTTAGGTATGTTGAGTTTGAGATGACACCGGGATATTCGTGTGGAATATCCAACAGACTAAGATATGCAGCTCAGAGGAGCAATTGCCATCAGTTGCAGGTGTCTGTGTTTTACCTTTTCTCACTTGATTTGTCTTGCATTTATCAATACACGTGTATTGGTGTGTGTAACGGTAGCTGCCAGGTCAAACAACCTCTGTGCTGTCCAGATGCAAAATTATCAATGTGATAATTTTGAATAATTTAAAAGTCTATTGTGGGGTCTACCTCATTATTTTGATTTGTTTTAGAAACAAAAAATCTCACAAATCTTCTAGAACAGTCATAAGTGTTAATAGCTGGAGTTTGCTGAGCACCGACCACGGACTGTACACTTCCTATGAGTTATCTCCATTTCAATCAGACAATGTGGAGACTCACTGCAGACACACAGCTATAAAGGGGCAGAATTCAAATTCAGAGTGAGTTACCCTGAGGCATCTAGCTTTTCACTTCACCATGTTAAAGGCAGGCTGGGGTTTCCCTGGTGGCGCAGTGGTTGTATGCTAACACATATATATGGAATCTAAGAAAAAAAAAAAAAGGTCATGAAGAACCTAGGGGTAAGACGGGAATAAAGACACAGACCTACTAGAGCATGGACTTGAGGATATGGGGAGGGGGAGGGGTAGGCTGTGACGAGGTGAGAGAGTGGCATGGACATATATACACTACCAAGCGTAAAGTGGATAGCTAGTGGGAAGCAGCCGCATAGCACAGGGAGATCAGCTAGGTGGTTTGTGACCGCCTAGAGGGGTGGGATAGGGAGGGTGGGAGGGAGGGAGACGCAGGAGGAAAGAGATATGGGAACATGTGTATATGTATAACTGATTCACTTTGTTATAAAGCAGAAACTAACACACCATTGTAAAGCAATTATACTCCAATAAAGATGTTAAAAAAAAAAAAAAACGAATCCTCCTGCCAATGCAGGAGACACGGGTTCGACCCCTGGTCTGGGAAGATCCCACATGCCACGGAGCAGCTAAGCCCGTGCACCACAACTACTGAGCCTGCACTCTAGAGCCCATGAGCCACAACTACTGATCCTGCACTCTAGAGCCCATGCTCTGCAACGAGAAGCCACTGCAATGAGAAGCCCGCGCACCACAATGAACAGTAGCCCCTGCTCGCCGCAACCAGAGGAAGCCTGCACGCAGCAGTGAAGACCCAGCACAGCCAAAAATAAATAAATAAATAAATTTATTAATAAATAAATAAAGGCAGGCTGGAAAGTTCCAGGCCCTTCTTCCTTAGGCCCAAATTTTTATTTGGGAAGGTAACCTATGTTTCCATCCTCTGTGAATCTTCATGCCACCAGTTGGTGTGGGTGATCTTTACAGTTCAGTGATTCTATCCATCAAAGTGCAGGCTTCATCATTTAGAGTTTTCATGGGCTTTCACTATTTAGCCCTCTGCTGTGAAACATAATTATATCATTTATACAAAAAACATCAGCCAACATTATTATTTCCCACTCAGCAAGACTGTTTAACAAGGTGAGAGCAGGGCTTCCCTGGTGGAGCAGTGGTTAAGAATCCACCTGCCAATGCAGGGGACATGGGTTCGATCCCTGGTCCGGGAAAACCCCACATGCCGCGGAGCAACTAAGCCCATGGGCCACAACTACTGAGCCTGCGCTCTAGAGCCCACGAGCCACAACTGCTGAGCCCACATGCTGCAACTACTGAAGCCCACGTGCCTAGGGCCCATGCTCCACAACAAGAGAAACCACTGCCATGAGAGAAGCCCATGCACCGCAATGAAGAGTAGCCCCTGCTCTCCACAACTAGAGAAAACCTGCTTACAGCAACGGAGAACCAAAGCAGCCCAAAATAATAAGTTAAAAAAAGAAAAAAAAGGTGAGGGCATTTGTCAGAGGTAAGATACAGAACCAAAATCCAAGTTTTTATTAAAAGATCACCAGTGTGTGGAATGTTTAACCAGCTGGATTCCCGATTCGTGTGGCTGTTACTTATTTTAAACTGTCTTTAGCAACATTCCCAAGGAAAGTCGCATTAAGGAATGATGAAAACTGCATAATGAGAAGCAATCAGGGTAGAACCAGATGATAGAGCTATTTATGTTCAGAAATGTGACATATATAACACAACTTAATGAACATTCCCCTTAGTGCCTCTCAAAATAACTGACTTCTTTTGACCTTTTCTTTTTTGTTTGTTTGTTTTTAGAAAATCCCTGGGAAGTTTAAGAAACTTTTTTCTGAACTTGAAAGTTTAACAGTAAGTAGTTGAGCCGGAGTAGACTTATTCTTCAAACTGATTGCTGGTGTCCAATTTCTTTCTAGATTTCAGTAGTCGGTATCTGCACTCTACCGTGTCAGGTAGCTTAGGCTAGTTCACTTGTGTATGAAAATGTAGCTTTGCTTCTTACGGAGTGAAGCAAGTTAACACTTCTTCCTCTCCATGGAAAAAGGTAGTGAGAATGGTCCTCTTGGCATGATATTCAGAAGGCAGATTTTTAAGTATACTCAATTTTCGGTCTCTTTTCAGATCACAATAAAACTGTTCTCTTGTTTTCTCTGCATTATCTGTGCATTACGAGCGCAGTTTTTCTTTGCAGTGTGCTTAACAAAAGGCTGTGGGGTTGCCTCATGGTAGAAACTATGGAGAAGAAACTGTACTTAAGGAACCTGTTTGAGGGAAGAATAATAGGGCAATCAAAAGGTGTCTGTCCTTTGCAGTCATTTCCCATTACTGTCAACCAGTAACTTGACTTTCATTCATTGCCTAGATTTCCTGCCCTAATTTAATGAGTTTATTCTCCTAGGAAACCTTTATCTACTTTGTTCTTAGGAAGAACCACTCTATATCTAAATCATGTTCAAATGGTATAGTAAAAGTGGATTTAGAATTGTTTCTATAGCACATTGATTTTTCTTTCTCTTTGTAATCTTCTTGGTTCGGCAGGATCCTTCCCTGAATCACAAAGCCTACCGAGATGCATTCAAAAAGATGAAGCCGCCCAAAATCCCTTTCATGCCCTTATTGCTTAAAGGTAACGGTTTTCTATCTTTTATGCTATATAATTCTATCTTCCAGAAATTTATCACTCTACAGAGGGCAAGAAAAGGAATCATAGTTTATTTCTTTAAAGTAATTTTGACATTCAGACCTAACTGTGTTGGCTTGTGACTGTTTTTCAAGTGTTCAATTATTTCTGAAATGCTTAAAATACTTAATTGTACTTAAGCAGACATCAAAGTGTTTTCGATTGACTCACAAAACTTGGCACTGGAAACGTTTGTGTTTTTACTTTACTCTGCTTTAAGCATCGTCTTATTTGAGTCTACAATTCACTTAATTCAACCAAGAATAAGGCTGGCATAATGAATCCAAACAGTGATCAGTCACGGTCTATGTTTGCAACTTAAATTTCAGAGATTCAACCCGTGGCCTGCTGCTGTGTGAGAAGTACCTTTGGTTTGGTCAACCCAGGCAGTGTAGTGTATGAAGAATTTTGGTAGGGAATGTACTTTCTTCTTTCCAGGAGTGAATCCAGTTGGGAAAGTATCTGACAGCTCCAAGTTAGTCGACTAACTTGTCTTCTGTAGAGAGCGCCAGATCATTCATCATGAAACATGTTAGTTAAATTTACTAATGATCTCAGGGGTCTCTTTCAGACCCAGGGGATTAATGAAAGTGAAGTTCGTTTTCATCTGGCCTATGCTCCTGACATTTAGTATATATCCTACCTATGTGCTTTCCAGGAAAAGCGGGTTGGTCATTTTTCTTGGCTGTGTTTTGATTCTTTCCAAGGGATTATAGGAATACTCTTTTATATTGCCTTCACCCTTCAGAGGCTTGTAAATTCTGCTGGCTCAGTCCCCGGTGCCTACACCCATAAATGTGATTCTGGAAGTGAAATACCTGGGAACTGGATTGCTGGTTGGCCTGGCCGTCTCCTCCCTCACCTCCCCCCATCGCCGGCCCCACTGGCAATAAAGCTGATGCTCGCTTTTCGGCTTCTCTCAAGAACAGCCAGAGCTTGGAGAAGTGTTGAGTTGCTATGCATCCCTGCAGCTATTTTTTCAATCTTCATCTAGTATAAAGCAAGAATTTCTGGGAAACAATAATGTATTAGGACAATTGAGAGTCACACAGAATGCTTCATTCGAGCTCAAAAGATTCTGCGAAATGTAAATGGATGAAATAAGGAGAGATTGTAAAGCCAGAATACCAACTTAAAAGTTCATTTAATTTTTCATGTTTATTTCTAAGATAAGTTTATTCAGGCTTCTGATTTTTATTTAAAATGAAACACCAGCTGGAGAGCGGGGGTGGTGGCCTGTGGGAAGTGACACTTAGAATTATTTAGACACAAAGAGGAAAACTAGGAAGCGAAGACAGATCTGGGAAAGGAATTGATTTTAGGAAGACAAAATTTTGAAACAGTGGATGTTTTTAAGGTAATGAGAAAACAGTCGACAATGTCCCATTAACTTAATTAGATATGAGCTGAGCTTTCTTTTATATATTAGTGGTTTTTCCCCCAAGGTACTTAATGCAGTCAGGTGCCTCACACTTATGTCTTAGCTTGGATGCAATTTTCTGCTTTACTGAGTTTATCTAGACCTCTTTGTCGGCAGCAAAACAAATCTCCCTTTTTTCTTTTGTGTGTGTGTGTGTGTTTAAATTTTTTTTTTTAATAAATAGGTTTTTTCTATTTTTTTGTATACAGCAGGTTCTTATTAGTCATCAATTTTATGCACATCAGTGTATACATGTCAATCCCAATCTTCCAATTCATCCCACCACCACCCCACCACCCCGCCGCTTTCCCGCCTTGGTGTCCATACGTTTGTTCTCTACATCTGTGTCTCTATTTCTGCCCTGCAAACCGGTTCATCTGTACCATTTTTCTAGGTTCCACATATATGCGTTAATATACGATATTTGTTTTTCTCTTTCTGACTTATTTCACTCTGTATGACAATCTCTAGATCCATCCACGTCTCAACAAATGACCCAATTTCATTCCTTTTTATGGCTGAGTAATATTCCATTGTATATATGTACCACATCTTCTTTATCCATTCGTCTGTCAGTGGGCATTTAGGTTGCTTCCATGACCTGGCTATTGTAAATAGTGCTTCAATGAACATTGGGGTGCATGTGTCTTTTTGAATTATGGTTTTCTCAGGGTATATGCCCAGTAGTGGGATTGCTGGGTTATATGCTAATTCTATTTTTAGTTTTTTAAGGACCCTCCATACTGTTCTCCATAGTGGCTGTATCAGTTTACATTCCCGCAAACAGTGCAAGAGGGTCCCCTTTTCTCCACACCCTCTCCAGCATTTGTTGTTTGTAGATTTTCTGATGATGCCCTTTCTAACTGGTGTGAGGTTATACCTCATTGTAGTTTTGATTTGCATTTCTCTAATAATTAGTGATGTTGAGCAGCTTTTCGAATTTCCCTTTTTTCTACTGAAAATACATTCTCTCATTCCCGCTAGTAAATTAAACATTTTCTTTTTCATTAGAAGCTCGAGTTTAAAGAAGCACTTGTTTTTCCTTCATCTTAATTTTTTGTCATTATAAAACGTTAGTACTCTCTTGCAGTTAAAGTTACTATTTTTGTCTGAAATAATTTCCAAAGGAAAACAGGATGAAACTTTTAAATATGTGTATATCACATCTGAGGTAAGACATTTTGGAAAACATAAATGACATTCTTAGCTTTTGTTAAATGCAAAATTATTTTAAAATTTGCTGTAAACTAGAGCAACCAACATTTTCATGAAAACTTCCCAGCCCTCCCCTCTTGTGCCTCCTGCTTTGCATTGCTTTTGGTTACAGAAAGAGACCAAACTGAACTCCTTGGGTGTTAAGAAGGATTAGGGCTCCCATGTTTCATTTTTTGAGATAGTCAATTCCCAATACCATGCAGATTATCAAGTGAGCAGGTAACCTAAAAATGCTTCCAGCCATCAGCTTTTCTACTTCCCAGTGAATTTCTTACTTCTGATTTACTTCCCCCCCCCCGCCCCCCTACTGTGGAATCCAGTTCAGAAAGTAGTGAGTGAGAAACCCTAAGGAAGTGTTGGGGAAAGGATCCAGCTGAGCTAAAGGTCATAAGCAGTTGAATAATCTGTATCACGGCGTTTTGGGAGATGGTAGTCCTTCCAGTAGAGTGAATAATCAACAGGTGTCTGAAGGTAAACTGAGGTCGTGTTTGTATCTTGGGGCGCAGATTATTATTGCACATTTGCGGGGGTGTTTAAATAAATGGAATGTTGAGGTGCTTATATGTTTCTTCCTTCTCTTTCACTTGCCATCTCTTCAAACGGAGTCCTTTCATCCCCCGTCCTGTTATATGAAGTGTTAGGAGCGTGTTCAGATGTCTCCAGATAAAGGGGTCTGGCGGTTGCTCATTTCTAGCACTCTGAACCCTGAACTGCTTCACAGCCCATGACTTAGGTTCTGAGACCCCCGTTTTTGAGCTCAAACACCTGTATTGGTTTATCCCTCTCACACCTGCCTCATCACACACCTGCCGTTCATCTGCATCAAAACCTTCAGCCATTTGACCCCCTTCTCCTGGGCAGCAGCCCCTTCCAGCCCCTCTTGCCTCCCCACCTGGCCAGACACACCTTCCCTGCCTTATCCTCAGGCCAGCATCAGCCTAACAGCCCCCCACCCTCAGTAGAGCCGCCATCCTCATGCTCTGGCCTCGACAAGTCCTTGAGAGTTGAGATTAAGCAAGATCACCCACGCAGAGGAGAGGGAGGAGATAGAAAGAGGGACAAAGGAAACACTGTAAAAGTTGCAGAGGCCCCCGTCTCCCATAAATTCAGCAAGGTGGCTGTAACGGGTGGTCAGAAATGTCCAAGTCCTTTCGGGTACCAGAGAGGCACCGTGGAGAGAGCAAGCAGGCTGCCTGGGCTTGGGTCCTGGCTCTGAGACTTAGAGCTGTGATCATGGGCCAGCTGTGCTTGTTCTTTGGACCATCCTTTCTTCACATTCTTTTCCTGCTAGGGCTTTTACCTTATAGTCTTTTGTGAGGATTAAATGAGTTAATGCTATGTCTGACGCTGGTAATAAATATAAGCTGCGTTATTATCATCATCTTTGGGAACACAGGGAGGGGATGACAAACTTTGGAACACTGGGGGAATGGACGAAGAAACTCTGACAGGGCATTTGTAATCCGAATTCTCCGCGAGTGAGGAGTTACTAGGCTCGTAGGTGGTGTTTAATGTAGATAGAGTACACACAGTGCTTTGCTTGCTGTACAAACAAGGTACAAGCTAACTGTGTTGGCTACTCTTTTTCTAAATATTGTGTCAGAGGTTGAAAGCTTGCAATTCTATTCTGAAAGCAAAACAGCGAAAGAAAATAACCAGAGAGTTTGTCAGATGACTGTGTAATTGTGAATTGCTTCCCTGCTAAGACATCAGTTTTTAAAAAAAAATCAAGGGGAGAAAACTTAGGAAAACGTTGCAGTCTGGTGGGGCTGGAAGCTGTGAATAAAGAATGCCATGAGAAAAGGGTCGTCATCAGCGTAGTCTGTAACTGTGGAACTGGTGTTGCCCCCTGGTGAGCAGTCAAAGCTCAGCGGCTGGGTGTGTTGCAGGCAGATTTCCCAAGCACCTATCTCGTAATTGCCCCATAGGGACCAGCAGAATCAAAGTCTTGATTAAATGCAAATGCTTTTCCTTTCTATTTAGAGGAATTTTAATCTGTTCGTTTCCCTCTTTATATCATGTTATTTTAACAAGATTTTTGAAAGTGGTGTTCATTTGGTTTGTCCTCCATGTCTGTGATATAACATGATTATTTGCATGTTCTTTAAATTGTAGTATATTTCTTACTTTGATTCTCCGCTGTGAGGACTCCCCAATGCTCAGTCACTGACCCTCTGATTTGAGTTTTTATAAGCCACCCCCTTTCAGAGCTTCAGCTGCTGTTATTATTGTAACTAATCCTTGTCTCTTGAAGAGACACTCCAGTAAGTTTTGCGACCAAAAGGAGATTTTTATTTGAATATCTTCTTTCACTTCAAATGCAGTGAGGCTCAAATCAAATTAACATTCCCGTCCTCTGAAAATGTATCTTCATCCTACTTTCCTTATGTTGTTTTCATCAGTGAATAGGCCCAGAAATCTTGCCTTTTCCAAACCTGTCCCATTCCTCATTCACTTCAGATACGCAGTCAGGCCCTGGCTTTGAAAACCAAAAATCTAAACCTTAATGCTTTAAGTAAAGCAGATCCATATACTTTGCCAGGGATTGTTAAAAAGCAAACACATAAATATTAAAAATCCTTTTTGTTTCTGGGGGTTCAGTTCTTTTCTGCTCGGTGTTCTGGCCTAAAAACATAATGGACCAGTTAAGTTATAGAATAGTGTTAGTGGATATTAAGCAGGTTGAAGTCAAAGCCTGCAATGTAAAAGCAAGATACATACTTGCATGAGTGTTATAATGTTTTCTCTCCACACGCATACATTATGCCCCCTCACATCAAATACTATTGAGATTCAATTTCAAGTTGCATGGTCAATTGCATGAAATAATCCATGATGTTTAAGAAAAATTAATAAGCTGCATTGCATCTATACCTCTTCAACTCTGCGTCATGATCCGTTCCTAATGGTACATATATCTTTTTGTTTTTAATTTTCAGATGTAACATTCATTCATGAAGGAAATAAAACATTTTTGGATAATCTTGTCAATTTTGAAAAACTGGTATGTAAAACTTCACTATTTCTCCTTTCTCCCACTGTAAGGGAAGTGTATGCTTTTCTGTGCCAAGAAACAAATGGTTTAAGTGCTTTTCTCCTCTGAATGTGCGGTGATTTTTTTGCTGCATGTTGTACATTATCAACACAGTGCGTTCCAGTTAAAAATAAGTGTGCTGGCAAGTTCTGGGGCCAAATATGAAAATCTGCTTTTTATTTTTGAAAACGGAACTTCATTAGATTGACATCAGTGGTTGAGTGTATGTGTTTGAACTAGAATGAAAGCTGTAAGGTTCCTGTCAGCAGGAGTTCACAGTCTTGAGGTTCAGCCTTGTTGCTTTAAAGGCATCTCCCTGTGTCTTGGCTTACGCTGCTTCTGAGGCACGGGACAAAGCTCTCCTTCTGGGGGGATATGTCCATCTTGGATATGAAGATGGAATTTGTAGGGTCTGCATGGGAGGGGAAGGACCACCCCTCTATCAGCCTGTGGACAGATGGTGCCACTGTGGAGAGATCACCTCGTGCAAAGTGAGAAAGTGAGCTCACCAGAAAGGGGTCCGTGGCCAGTCCCTTCTTACAAGTCACTGAAATGCCTCTTTGAGAACTGTTTCCAGGACATTCTCAGGTGCTTTGTCATGCAGCGGGTTCCTACGAGCCTTTCTCACTGGCTGTGGGCACAGGAGGAATTACCTGCAACTGTGAAATAGGAGTGCCCCAAAGAGACCCTGGGGACCACAAGAATGCATTTGTCTGACAGTTGAACTTTAGTGTCATAGGTGAGCCTGCCATGCACGGTTAAAGATGGTATCCGGGACCCCTGTCCGTAGACCCTGACCTTTGAGTGACCTTTTCAGTAATGGTAATAGATTTGTGTGAACTCTTTCAGAAATGGATCCCCGGTTCCCTGTGAGACGCGGTCAGGCATTTGAGAGAAGGTTGAGACGGGGGCCATAGACCATGACCAAAGAACAGTACCACCTGATGAGTCCAAACGAGGCTTGGCCTCTGACCTTTGCCTCAGAGGTGCCCCGCTCTAATTGTGAGGTTAACTCGCCACACACGGGATGAGGTGGTGCAGAGCCAGTGCAGGAGGCTCTGGTACAACCTGAAAACCCAAGCAGCTGAATCTGGAAGACTGACGTCTTGGGATAGCTTGCCTTAGCTCAGTTTTAATGATTTGAGGGTGATCGCTTTCTGGCTCATTAGTTTTGAAGTAGACATGTCCATAACTTTTTGAGTCTCTCTGTGCACTAAGTGCTTTGGAATCCAGCTCAGTTATTTTAGATACTACAGTCAAACCAACACAGCCCGAAATAGATATTTAAAGTATTGGGTTTTCTTGTACTTACTCTTTAGAGATTTGTTCTGGTGTCACCCAGTAATGTTCTGAAGATCCCAGGGCCCCTCTTTGTAGCCAAAGACTACATGTAGGCCCTAACGTTCTAGTCTGTAGACAGGTTAATCTTCAGTGTTTGGTATTAATGAAATGATTGCAGGAATAAGAAGCCTCTGGTCAATACTTACTTCAAATCTTGGCCAACACCTCTGCTTAAGAATGCCAAATAAGCTTTGGCGAGCATGTAAGAGATGTGGGACGAGCTGTGTCACGCCAAGTGGAATTCCCTCTAAAGGTCTAGTACCCTTCCCTCTGACTAACCCAGAGGAAACATGCGAGAGCCAGTGTACTCTTTGTACGCTGACTGTGGTCAGTTGTTAAGGGTACAGTGGTGGTTGGCCCCCTTCCCAAAGAGAACCAGTGATTTGGTTAAGTTCATTGTGTCATTTCCCCCCAGATGGAGCTCCCCAAGTGAGAGAACAATTCAGTAAAGGCAAGCATGGGAAAGAGTGATGGAAAGCTTCCTGCACCCTCTCTCTTTCATTCTGACCAGCGTCTCTTTTTTTTTTTCCCCTGCTTTCTCCAGTGGTCCAGTGGAAGCCTTTTAATGCTGACTCACGTAGTCTAGGGTCTTGCTTTCATAGAGACAAGACTTAAAACTAACCGTGGGGACTGAAACAAAGTCTAACTAATAGTACTGCTCCTAGGGTCAATAATTGTATGTACCCTGAACCCTTTAATAAAGCTTAAGGAAATAACATGGCGTCAATAGGTAATCTTTTATTTTAAATTCCTGAAGAGAACTCTTATTAAAAAGACAGCTAGAAGGTAAGTGCAGTTATACATGCATGCAGCAGGCCCACGGCACACAAGCTCACCCCTCAGGTGCTTGCCATCACATCATTTCTAAAGAGAGCAGATTGTGTAGGGTCACTGGGTTCCTGGTCCTCAAAGCAGATGGCATTTAAGGTACAGCATGCCTCATGCTGACCCCCACTGCTTGCACAGAGAAGACAGGCTGAAGTCAGAATTTTTTCTAGACAAAACTGTATTTTACATTGTACATAGCCCTATGTTGTACTTGGATGCTGGAGAGTGAAACTGAATTTCCTAGTAGAGTCAGTAGTTTCAGCACGTTTCTTAGCAAAAGACAGGGTTTCACTTAAGCTATTGATAAAATAGCATCATCTTTCACAGTAATGAACCAGTAGAACCTAAGTGAATTAACTTGTGGGAAGCCAATTCCTCATGATGGATATTAGCCAGTGAGCAGATAATTCGGTGTGTTATCTTTATCAGGCTGATCCAGGCCAACGCATTAGGTCAGAGAACACGAAACCCAGAAGTGCTTGTTGGACCTAATAAGTTTTCCATTGTTCCCCACACTGCCTCAGCAGCTCCAAATGTTTCAGCCTCAGACCGTTAAATAATGAAGAAACAAATGCTTTCTCCTTTTCTTCTCTTTATCACTCAGTGTTAAGAGCATCATCTTTTATCGTAGCTTCCTCCCCGCTCCCTTCAGAAAACCTAAAGATGAGATCAGGGCTCTGGTTTCAGTGCTGCCCTGAGTACCTCACCTTACATCAGCTGTGCAAATGGCACGTGATAGAAATCAAGGTGACGCCATACCTTAAAACAACGACAGAACTGTCCTGGGAATAGTGGTAAAATTGGGGGAAGGAAATTTAACAATACATTCTCAGACATGAGTCAGGTCTCATTTCCTTTACAAACGCAGCTCGAGCTGTTGCTGTAATCACTGTCCTGTTTATTTTTCACTATTGAGTAGAAATACAATAGAAATGCAGCCTGTGAGAACAATTTAATAAGTAGGTCACGTTCAAATAATGTTTCTGGAGGTCTGCTGAAGTTTAAGTAAATTTATTTTTAGTATTAACATTATTATTTTAGCAATAATTTGTTGAGCGTTTGCTGTATATAGACGATCCTATGTTCAATGTGTGTAGGCAGGACATGAAAAACAATGGCCCAAGGTACGAACTACTATGTATAAAGTAAATAATATACAAGGATCTATTGTATAGCACAGTAATAATAGCCAATATTTTATAATAACTTTAAATGGAGTATAATCTATAAATTTTGAATCACCTGAAACTAATGTTGTGCACCTGAAACTAATATTGTAAATCAACTGTACTTCAATTGTTAAAAAAAAAAATATGATGGCCCATTTAGGAAGGTTTGGAGGACCAGATCATGAATAATGTTGATTCTTGAATTACAGGGTTATGTTTGGATTTTGTATGAAACAGTATAGAGTCACTGTTGCCTTCCAGAGGACTAGAACATGATGACAAGTGTTTGGAGACTATTCTGGCAACTGCGCAGGAGGAAGTGTAGTGGAGATTGGTCTGGTCCTAAATGCTGTGTTTCCTTTACCGTGGTAGAGAGAGCTAGAAGGCGGTTGCAGGTACACAAGTATGAGGCGAGGGGATCTTGTCCAAAGGAAGGAGCTGTGAGTTTAAGAAATCTTTGCCTGGAGATCAGTAGGAAGCTTAGAGAAATAAAGTAGAAAACTGAAGACTACAAAGGGAATGTACATTATAAACAGAAAACGGTCTCTGTAAAGATATTGATGTTTTAGAAAATGTACCTGTTTCATAAATATCTCGTCACCATTTGAGTTACTTGAGTCTTTGATTCCACAAAACTTCTGGCCTCCATTCAGCAAGTACGTGTGAGGCCACGTGTGTGCCGTACGGTTGGTGCTGGATACACAAAGCCCTCTCGTGATACTTGCTCTAGAGGAGGAAGAAAGTTCCACAAAGTGATTACAGCAACACAAACCCAATAAACACTGTACACAGAGCAGTGGGAAGGTTGAGAATGGAGCTTCCCAAGTGCAGGTGAACTCACAAAGACTTCATGGGGAGAAGGTGAAACACCTTCTGAAGTAAAAGCATATGCAAATGTGGACAGGTAGGTTGAGGGTGGACACGCTGCATTTTTTTAATATATTTTTTTAAATATTTCTTTTAACTGAGGTATGTATTGATGTACGATATTATATGTTACAGGTGTACAGCATTGTGATTCACAGTTTTTAAAGGTTATACCCCGGTTATAGTTATTATAAAATGCTGACCATATTCGCTGTGTTGTACTATCTTTGTAGCTTATTATTTTACACATAATAGTTTGCACCTCTTTATCCCCTATCCCTGTCTTGGCCTTGCCTCCTTCTTTCTCCCCACTGGTAACCAACCACTAGTTTGTCCTCTATATCTGTGAGTCGGTTTCATTTTGTTATATTCACTAGTTTGTTGTATTTTTTAGATTCCACATATAAGTGATATCATACAGTATTTGTCTTTCTCTGTCTGACTTATTTCACTTAGCCTAATACCCTCCAATCCCATCCATGTTGTTGGGAATGGAAAAATTTCATTCTTTTTTATGGCTGAGTCATATTCCATTGTACATATATACCACATTTTTATCCATTCATCGGTTGATGGACACTTAGGTTGCTTCCATATCTTGGCAGTTGTAAATAATGCTGCTGTGAACATTGGGGTGCATATGGCTTTTGGAATTAGTGTCTTCATTTTCTTTGGATATATACCCAGGAGTGGAATTGCTGGGTCATATGGTAGTTCTATTTTTAGTTTTTTGAGGAACCTCCATATTGTTCTCCATAATGGCTGCACCAATTTACATTCCTACCAACAGTGTAGGAGGGTTCCCTTTTCTTCATGTCCTCACCAACATTTGTGGTCATTTTAATGTTAGCCATTCTGACAGGTGTGAGGTGATATTTCATTGTGGTTTTGATTTGCATTTCTCTGATGATTAACAGTATTGAGCATCTTTTCATATACCTGTCAGCCAAGTGTATATCATCTTTGGAAAAATGTCTGTTCAGGTCTTCTGCCCTATTTTTTTGGCGCTACGCGGGCCTCTCACTGCTGTGGCCTCTCCCGTTGAGGAGCACAGGCTCCGGACGTGCAGGCTCAGCGGCCATGGCTCACGGGCCCAGCCGCTCCGCGGCATGTGGGATCTTTCCCGGACCGGGGCACGAACTCGTGTCCCCTGCATCGGCAGGAGGACTCTCAACCACTGTGCCACCAGGGAAGCCCCTTCTGCCCATTTTTTAATTGAGTTGTTTTCTTGATGTTGAGTTGTATGAGCTCTTTATATATTTTGCATATTAACCCGTTATTGGTCATATCATTTACAGATATTTGCTCCCATTCAGTAGGTTGTCTTGTACTGCATGTCTTAACAGTATGTTTTCCCATGGCTCAGTTAGAATCTGTGCAGCCGGGGTTGAGAGCCACTGTTTCTGAAGACAAGGTCAAATTTTCTTTTGTAATCCAAACTCAATATATATTATCAATTAAAGTTAGGTCCCGCACCAAATATAGCTCCTCTATTTACACCCAAAGGTGTTAGACTATCCAACCAGCCTCACAGCACCGCTAGTTCAGCAACACCCGAAATGACCCTTCCGCTGATGTGTTTCCTCTTTTGCCTTCCAGCATATGATTGCAGACACTGTCCGAACACTGAGACACTGCAGGACTAACCAGTTTGGTGAGTCATTGAAGTTGGGTATGGCATGTTAGTCTATCGTACGTTGGTATGGACTGTGGCCATATCACAACTATTGGTGGTAAAAAAAAAAAAAAAGATTGTAAAATATAATATGCACATCACATGCATATACTGTATTCTCTCTGTTTCATCACTGCATGTTTGGGAGGCAGAGTAGGAGAAGAAATGGCAGCTTTTTATCCTCTCCTGGCAGCAAGTGTACACTGTACAGAGTGACTTTAGACGATCAGAAGCTCCCGCTGTACCCCTGACCCAGAAAGTCTTGTTTGCTTGCCTGCTGGCTCAGAATTACCCGTGGGTTTATCAGGGGTGACCCTGTCCTTAACCTCCTTGCTTGGAGCCTTCCTGGAATAGGAATATAGTTTGTAAAAATGCCTAAAGCAGCCTTGCAGAATCTTTTCTCCTCTCCAATGAAAACTTCCTGTTTGGAGCTGCCTTTCACTGAAAAAGTATTTTTCTGAGCGCTTTTGTTGACTCCCCACTGAGACTGATGTATGTAGGAATATTTATTCCTTTTTAAATCTCAAGAATAATTTACACTGTGTTTAAATGATGTTAAAACATTGCAGGAAGGAAGGAAATCAACTGTATTGAGTTCAAGGAGCTTTCACATGGGCAGTGGGATCCTGACCCTCATGCTGGTGAATGGAGATTATAGACCCTGTGGGTGCAGAGCAGAAAACTCAGGCTCGGAGAGGCTAAATTTCAGCCATTACTCAGACCGAGTACCTGACTGCCCAGCCCATACCGTTTCCTTCGCCTTGTGCAGACTTTATAATTATAAAGGGCAATTAAAAAAACAGAGAGTTCAGTAATTATAAATCAATCAAAAGTGACCACCAAGTAAAACTTACTTTGTTAAGCAATACATCCTCATTGTAAACCAATTTTTTTCAACAATACAGAAGTATCTTTAAAGCAGAACAATCAAAGTCCCACTTCCTAAGGAAAATATTCCTAACAATTTGGTACATATTCTTAAGAACTTTCATTCTGTTCATGCCCGTCTTGGGTAGTAATGCTGTCCTCCAACAAAGCAACTGAACTTCTGTGTGGATTACAAAGTTTCTGTTTGAAAGAGAGAATTATAAATACAGGACCTAATTTTCTAAGTGCTCACATCAAGGAATACCATTTGATACATGCTTATATAATTGTCCAGTAACTACCCAAGTACAATGCAGTTTCAGTAGAAACAGCAATAACATTGTCATGGAGATTCATTCAAATGTACAAGCATTCTGTTGCTGATAAGTAAAGGATTTGTATCTCTTTCACCCCCCTTTGCTTCCCAAGTATGTATGGGTACTCAGCTAATTCTGAGACCTCAGTCTCACTTACCAAGGGATTCCGGTCTATATACGCTGCAGGTGTGGGCAGGAAGGTTATACCAGTGGGGCTGGCCTTGACCTTGCCAGCCTCCCATCTCCCAGCCTCCCATCTCCAGAGAGTAAGTCTGCATAGCAAAAGGCAAAGGAGGAATTTAAATAACTGTCAGGCCAGTTTGTGTTTTGTATTTATATATCTTTAAAAATCAAGTTTGGAACTGAATTATCTAAATTCAGTTTGACAGTTTATATAGGCAGAGTTAAACAACGTCAGCCCTTGGGATAAAACAATGTTAATGAAGCCACTTAGAGATTACAGAGTGCCATGCAAGGGTCACTTGTCATGGTTGGAAGCATTCCGCCTGCCGTCTTTTTAAGGCTGGAAAGTTAACAAAACTATCTCGGTAGCATCATGTTTTCTAAACCAAACAAGGGGGAATGGTAAAACTTTAACTCCTGGTGCTTTTACTTGTTGAAACCAAGAAGCCTTGCTTCTATGTAACCTAAGAACCACAAGCCGTCCATGACATACAAGCCCTAAATTATTTCCTCATAAAACGTATCTGTCACAGAGGAGGAAAAAATGCGTTTTCACCAAGAGATAAAATTTCTGAATTAAAATGCTCAGCCTCCTGGGGGCCCCTTTTCTGCCCCAGCTGAACTCCAGCCTCACCCCCGGCTTCTCCCTCTGAAATCCCACAAAACAAGAAGACTCACAGTTACATTGTGTCACTGGAGGGCAGCTTAGCCCATCTCCCCAGGCCTTAATGCGTTGTTTGTTTGTTTGTTTGTTCCTGACCATGGGAAGTGGGCCTGCCCCACTGTCCAGGCTACTTTATCTCTGATTCCTTATCAGAGCTGTCAGCAGCATGGCACACACGGGTTCACAGTGCACCAGAGCCTCTTGTGGCCCTTTAACCGCCCTGCGTCTGGGAGTAGAAACTCCCTTGCTTTGTCCTTCGCTGCGTGGACGTTACCCCATCCACACACTTTCTGAACCTGCTTTGCCTGCAAACCAAACCTTGAGGCCACTTCTGTGATATCCGTTCATTTGATTGTTCCCTTAATTTTTTTCCCCCCCAAATAAGGACACCAAAAGATTTTCCTACCAACATAAGGACATAACAAAATCAAAAAAAAAAAAAAAAGAACTAATGTGTCCGTGCAGTCACCAGGTTAGCAGTGATTTCTGACAGTTCCAGCCTGAGATATAAGAGCCTGTGAAAGCCATTTAATGGGGCAGTCGCTGTGACAAGCTGCATGGCGTGGGAGCCGAGGCCATGGACTTGGGGGCCTCATGGCCTGGGTTCTGGTCCTTCTCTGCCGCTTACCTGCTAGGTCTGTGCTGTTTCACATTCTGTAGAGGGAGATAATAACAATCACTAAATACTATATAATATTAGGAGAAATTGCTCTATCAATGTTGGTAGAACAGACATCTTGCCAGTCTAATTACCTGACCTGAGGCATCTGGTCTGAGCTGGAAAAGCATCTCTGGGATTAGGATAAAGATATCTCTTCTGGGACTCTGACCAATGCGAGTCTGCCTTCTGGGTTTACTCTACGCCTTCAGGTGGGGTGTTACTGGTATTCAGAAACAGCATTACTGCTCTCATGAGATTGACTTTTTTTCCTTCCCCAAAATAGGAGGTGACATATCTCCAAAAGAGCACCCAGAGTTAAAAGCCTACGTTCATCACCTGTGCGTCATTGACAGCCAGCAGGCCCTGTTTGCGCTGTCGCACAGGATCGAGCCACGGGTGTGAGCCCCCCCACGCCTCGCCACCCTGGAACCGCAGCCCCGGGAGCTCCGGGGATGGCAGCGCCGAGCACGTTGCTTTCCTGAGAGAAAAGAAGTTGCTGAGTTTTATCAGCGTATCACAAGACATACACAGGAAAGCCAGCCAGAGCGTGCTCGCGAAGTGATGTCAGCTGCCAGAGATGCGGAGAGGCTGCTGTCGGAAGGAGAAGGCAGAAGCTTTCTCGAAATGGAGAAGTCTGGTTTCTTAGGATCACCTTGTTGAACCAATCCAATTTTCACTTTGAGATGCGCCAGCGTCAAGACGAGAGACCGTCTCCTGTCTTACGGTGACCAGGTGTCTCAGTAAGAGCATGTGTGAGCCTGGGAGGAGTTTTACTTTGCGTTTCTAGGCTGTCAAAGCGGGAGCTCATTTGAACACCTGAAGACAGTGACGGCATCTCTAGGTTTCCAGGGAGATGCACCGGTCTCTGTCTTTATGAACTATGACGTCACCAAAAGCCACTTTTGTCTAGGGAGTTAGTGAGGACTGGCAGCTGGCATCCCTGCTCTGATCTCCAGAAGAGAAATGTCAAGGCATGCATTTCTTGGCATCCACAGTCACGTAGCGATGTATGCTCGCAGGTGAAATGCGTTTCTGCGCAACTGATTCACAACTGTAGGCAAGTTAGACTAAGTTGCTTTGCCAACACGGAAGAACAGTCACTTTTAAGAAATCGACTCATTGAATTTCTGGGGATTTTCTTTCCACGTGCCAGCAGGCTCTCATCTCGGGTACAATACGATTTTTGACAAAAGCACAGTGCCTGACACATTGCAGGCACTCTTAACTGTTTCTGGGGGTGACGGTCACAAAGGCCCGCCTTTTTGTACCTGGCGATGCCCTCGTGTGTTGCTTGCTTCCAGCAGCCTCATGCCCATACTCTGGAATGAGAACGGCCCATACAGGGAGTTTAAGTGGGATCTGATGTGTGAAGCACTTAGCACTCCCTGGAGAAGAACAAGGAGTTAAAATAGTGGTGATTGCCCATCTTTCAGCAAATGAAAAGAACCCCAAAGATCTAAATGTCTTATGTATGTTGGACACTTAGAAGTCCTATAGTCTGCCTCCCAACCAAGGCAGGGAGCCTTTCTATAATTTGCCTTTCCCCCCCACCAAAGTCTCAGAGTCTTTTAAGTCTTTTTATTCCCATTTTTACAGGTTGGGGCTCCTACAGTAAATATGACCTCTTGCTGTTCTCAAGAACTGGTTAGAGGATTTCCCTCAACCTTCAAATGAACAAAAAAGCCTGTGGGATACAGTAATGAAATCCACCCCTGCCAGCTAGATCCTTGTCACTTTGCTAAAATACAAGGGCCCTGCTTTGCCTGTTAGGTTCATTCATTTTCCACACACGTGATCCCGGTGCCCCTCTCACCCCTCCTACCTGGTCCCCTCCTTGGTGCCTGTACAGAATCGCTTCTTCTTGTCTCATCAGCACCTCATTTCTGAGATGTGTCCAATGCTTTCTTACACCTTTATAGCAATGCTGTTTCCTGGGCTCGGGAGCCGCACTGGGCTTGAGAGATCCCTGTTAGCAGCCCCAGGGAGCAAATTTGGGGTAGGACTTTGAAAGAGAGTCTGTCCCAGCATGTCAATCTTCAGTCCTGAACATTAACAGGGCTTTATAGAAAGGCACCATCCAGGGCTGGTCCACTCAGAGAAATGCCCCAGGCTCCTGGGAATGGAATGAGACTCATTGGAGGAGATCAGACCCACCAGAACCAGGGAAAAGAGATTTTTCTCGTGGCTGATCAAACACTGGAAAAGCGCTCCACTTGGCAATTACTGAGGACGCTGTGGGCTTACAGCACCAGTGTGTGTTCTGGTCTTTTCTCTATGCTCGGGAGTAGCATTGGGCCATTCTAATCCTACGAGGCCATTTGGACATCGTCTCTTGTGTTTTACAGTTTAAATGGTTATTCACATTAGATCTACATTGCTCCAACAAAAAGTATTGCAATTGCTCCAGTGGAGAACTGTTTTAGCACAGGACCTGCTGCTTGGACCTCAACTCAGATGTGTGCGTGGCCAAACGAACACACACGTACATCACACCTAAACAGATTTTGAGGGTGTAGTCAGAGTACCCCACGTGGTATGGGTGGAAACAGACTGGGAGAGAACGGCGCTTGCCCACTGTTTCCTCCAGCCATGGTCTTGTGGCTCTTGGGGCAGCAAAAGGGAAGGATTTTGTTTTGTTGAGATGTGCTTTTCCATCCCTGTCTTCTGAAAGTCAAAATCTCTAAATCTTCCTGAAATTTAACAACGATCTGCAGAGGTCTCCCAGGCAGCAGCTCTCAGAACTTTCAGAAGCAATGAGAAGACGTGAATCTGGAATCAATGAATTCAAGGCAGAATCATGGGAACCAGATGTAGCTCAACATGAAGCTGTTTCTAATGAGTCTGGAGCTGTCCAAGTGAACAGGCTGCAGGGGACTTAAGCAGGGTCCCTGTTAATAGGGATGGGTCATATTCCCTCTGCATATATCTGCCAAGGCCTCTTCGGAATAGGTTTTGTTCTGGCCAGAAGGGTGGCCAGGAGGACCTGTAAGCTCTTTTCTAACTCTGTTAGATTTTCACAATCACACGAAATCTCCATTCACTCTGAAAAATCTCCTATCATCTGAGACCTTCACCAGCGACGGGTGCGTGGGCACTTCTAAGGGGGTTCTTTTTGCTATGGCACAATTTTCAGACAGTCCTATGGGTCTTTGGATTTGTCAGCAAACCAGCCCTGCTTAGAAGTTAGCACAGGGCAAGTTCCTATCGGCAAAATCACAACCACTCAAAAGAATTTTTTTAATTTTTCCATACACATTTGCAGATGCTCCAAAGACTACAGTGTTTTATAATAACTTCACTCTTAGTTATAATCTGTATAATTGCCAGATGGTTGTAGTGATACATATTATGGCCTGCGTTCACTTTATTCTAGTATCTCTTTAGAATAAATTCATTTTCCTAGACCCCTGTCCACAAGCAAGTTGGGTGGAGAATACCTTAAATTCAGAAGCATAGGGACAAAGTAAAAACCCATACCTCCCAGCTTGTAGGGAGATGTTGCACTAATGCATACCCACCTCCAAGTAGGGAGACACAGTGGCATCAAAGAGAAGGTGCTGGTGACGTTTGATCCCTGGAGCTGGGCTTCCACTGCTGCCCCGATCCCTGCCCAGTGGTTTTGTTGCAGCCATCACACACACCACAGATTCCAAGTGTCCCTAGATGGCACAGCTAATCTGAGCTTCTCAGAAACTAGGCAAAAACATTAAAATGGAGAAGACCAGGTCCACTCTGGTGATCTAACATGGATAGCATTTCTTTTAAATGCTTCAAAGACATGTCCTTAAATTTTCAGCCTGCTTATTAACGAGTGAGCCATTGTGCTTAAAACTAGTGCTGGAAAAAAGTTTTTAAAAATTGCCAAAAAGTTAGATGAAAATGTACTATATAAAGCAAAGCTGTATATACTAAACATTTTTTAGCAGAGTAATATTTATTTGCATAGCCTATTTATTCGTATTACACTGTCATCAAATACTAGGATGAAATCGATGACCAAAAGCAAGGACTCTTGCCTTTTAATGTATCATTAATTAGGACCGCTGTGACATTATCAGCTTGCATTAACAGAAGATAGAAAACCCACAATCAGGGCATCTACCTAACTTCTCAGGGACTACACTTTGTAGTTTTCCACCATTAGAAGAGCTGGTAAATATGAAACATTTGTGGAATTACCAGAATTGCCATTAACAGTATTTCTTTCTCATATTTCATGCTTTCTGCTTCTGTATATATGACTGTGCTGTGTATTTATCAAAGCTAGTAAGCAATAATTTATATGTAAAAATGGCCAAGCAATATAAGGTGAAAACTTACATATAAGTCACTGTTACCTTATCTTGTATTTTCAAGTGTTTTTTTTAAAAAACTGCTTTTCCAAATATAAGATGATGTTAAAGATACTATTCATGCCTCAGAGCTTCTTGCTTTGTGATGTCTGGGGGCTCTGTAGCCTGTGTTCCAGCAGCGTATTACGCTCAGATGTGTGGAACTCAGAAATCATTTACTTGCTGACAGCGCTACAAGTAGGTGAAGAGATTCTCAGGCGACCCATGGAAGCCTAAATCACTTGTGCTGCCATTGAGTTATTGTAGAACCTAAAGACCCTGGAAATCGCATCGTATTCTGGGATGTGGAGACTCCAACAACCCCTGTCATTACCTCACCCCACTCAAGTGGGACCACGTACTCTCCCTTCCTTACCAGCCCAGACACTGAGGCAAGCTCCAAGCCCTGGTGGTGATGCCCTAGGCCTGGAATAGCAGCAGGACAAAAGCTACGGGTGGGACGATGAAGCAAAGGGGTGGTAATGATGCTCTACTGGAATGGAAAGATGAGGGTCGTATACACTGGGGTAGACTTATCCTTCAGACTCTTCTCTCCCCCTCCCTCCGGAAGAATTATACATTCTGCCCATTGATGTCAAGCTTGGCCTTTGGCAGGTGCTGACCCCTCCCCCTGCAAGAGGATTATGTCGTTTACCATGTTGAGCTGAGAACCGGCTAAATGTCTTCCTCTGTCCAGTGAAAAGCAACCCGTGTGGCTTGGAGACCGAAGCTTTGAGGTAACCTGTGGCTGCCATGTCTCCTCTGCTAGGAGACCCGCAGTGTCCAAGTAAAGGTGTCTCCATCCACTGGACTCTCCAGCTTGTGAAGGATGTGTCACTTGAGTGAGAAATAAAACATCACCATTAGAAGCCGCTGCACTTGGGTGGCAGGGCGGGGGTAGGTGACTACCCGGGTGGAATTTCACCGAAGCTGACTAATACAGTCTCCAGGACACTGCTTTCTTGATAAACGGCCCTTTCCCTCAGTCCACGTTGGGGTGATAGTACTGACTTTGCACATTACCTGATGGATAAAACCACCGGCTGTCCTCTATCCATGCAAAGGGCTAGTGTTTATGTAGGAAAAGGTAAAGACCAGATGATTCTCTTGGGTTCTTGATCACTAGGAAGGGGTACTCTCTGTAACAGGGGAAAATGGGAAGAGATGGCAAAGTGGGGGAATGGGCTCTCAGACCCTGGGGAGCAGAGAGAGGAGGACCACTGAGCTTGGATGCTTCGTTCTGACCCATCATCACTACATCTGTGGGCTCAGGTCTGGATCTGGAGCAACGCAGGAGATGAGGGGAGGATGGAAGCCCTAGGCTCCAGCTTCAGAAGGGAATCGGAGGGGAAAGGGAAATCACCATTGCTCAGGATTCTCGGAGATTTTCTTTGCTGGGATTGCCCGTACTGGGAAGATGAAGGCTCCCGCAGACTCAGAAGCTGGTTCTTGTTCTAGCAAACCTCAAAATGAACTTTCTGGTCCTGGTGCACTAGCTACAAAATCGGATTTCAGAGGATGAGAGCTCCAGGTCTGGTCCAGCTCTTCGAAGTCTTCTGGATCCACAATGAGCCACTTGTGTATTTGTTTTCCATTTACGACTTTAGACGAATGAAAGTCCTAAAGCTTTAGACTTGCTGATGTCCTTCAGTAAAGCATCCCTGCTTCTGAAGGCAGCAGGTGCGCCTTAATAGAGAAGACCCTAAGGCAGACCCCACCGTGGAGCCTTACTCGCCTGAGATGCAACCCTGGGAAGTGGTATTGAGCCCGCCTCTCCCGAAGGCCCCTTTCCTCCTCTGAGAAGTTTAGAGGTTCCCAAGTTGTCTGTGTGTGGTTAGAGGGTTAGAGGCTATAAACTCTAGTTAGAACTTGAGTGAAAATAGTTACATTCTGAGAAAATCCGTGCAGTGGTCACCTCGGTCTTGAGAGTCCTGACCAAAAAAAAAAAAAAACCAACAACAAACAAAACAATGCAGCAGAGAGATTGAAGGCTCAAAACCAGTGAGCCCACATGCGAGAATTAAGACAGTGGCAAGATCTTTCCCAAGTTCTACAGCAACGGTGGCTCTTCGGTGTCTTGTAACAGGTAAATCCCTTTCTCCTGGGAAACCTTTGTATGGCCAGTGACGGCCAAGTTCAAACCATGGGAACGAACTATCTTGATTCCTCACGTCCAGCACCCCTTGCTCATCAAGTTCTCCACCAGCTGCTCTGTCCCCACTTTCCCTGCATGAGTTCAGGCCTTCACTATCCATTACTTAATCATTACAGCAACTGTCTACCTAGGCTTCCTCCCTTTAGTCTAAATTTCCCCCGTCAATTTTTTTTTTTTTTTCTAAAATACAGATCTGATCGTGTCTGTCCTATAGCTCAGAATCCTTCAGCAGCACCTTCCAAGCTATAGAACTAAACCTCAATAGTATGCAAGTTCACATTCTGGCCTCTACTTACCTGTCCAGGGCCAAAGAGATTGGGAAGATGCCTCCAGAAGACGAATAACTTGGCATCCCCTGGAAACTGCTCTTCTACTCGGGGAGATTCATTGATTCATACCAGTAAGAATGCCAGCTGAAAATAACATGCACCTGGGACTTCCCTGGCGGTCCAGTGGTTAAGACTCCACACTTCCACTGCAGAGGGCATGGGTTCAATCCCTGCTTGGGGGGCTAAGGATCCCGCATGCTGCGTGGCAGTGGCCAAAAAAAAAAAAAAAAAAAATGCACCAAACGTTTGCTAAATAAATCAGTGTATGTGAGACTTATTTGCTCCTTTTCAGCTGTGAAATCTTGAAGCCAGGCTGGGAAGTATTCAGAGCTAGCTGGGGTTGGGGCAGGGGCTCTGACTGGCTTTGCCCAGATCACCAGAATTGCCTTGAGAATCATGAGCTCTTTCCTACCAGAGCTGTGCAGACAGACCTAAAACCAACTAGCAATTCGATCATCAGATGGAGGCTCTGAGAAAAGACCTTTAAGATCCCTTCCAGCCCCTGGCTGTTAAGAAAACTGGTTCAGATCTGCGATTGCTAGAGATAATCGGTTTTGTTTTGTTTCAGGAAGTGACTTGGCTGATGTGGGAAGAAAGGACTGTTCATGATCCTTTGTATTCCGTTGACCTGGGCTGGGCCCCAGCTGGAAGGGAAAGGCAGTGGGACGAGGGCGGAAAGGAGCGCCTCGCCCCTTCCCCCGTCCTGTGCCTGGTGCTGACTCCACAGTCCTATCAGAGATCAAGGCCTGCAGTAAACAGCCAAATAAAGCCCTGGAGTCAACGCAGCAGGGCCTGCTACCGAGCACTAAGCTGGCCACCACCTCCCGAGGGGTAAGGAAGGTCCACAGCAAAGGCGAACCTCGTCCTTTCTGCTGTCACTGTGTTCCGGGCTCCCACAACATGGCCTCACCCTGCCTTCTCTCCCAGGCACCCAGCCTGGACCCGGCACTCAAGTCTGGCCAGGCTCTTCTCTCTTCCACCCCCCTTCCCTACCCCCCAAGGAAGGCGCGTGCACTCCCAAGCCCTCCTGGAGGACCCCGTCCCCCGCTGAACCCCCTTATCCCTGTCTGAATTCCTACAGCAGGTCCCATAATGCAGCATCTGTCCACCCATCCTACATGGGCTGCCTCGAGGGTGAGGAAAAGGGTTAACAGTGTAGCCTCTGAGGCCAGACTGCCAGGTTCAAATCAGGCTCAGGCATTTTAGAGTTGGGAGAACTGGTGAAAGTTTCCACCTTGATCTTAGCTGCTGTTTCTGCACCTCAGAAAATGGGGGTTCGTATGCCTCCTCCCTTACAAGGTTGTATGAGGAAATGGACGTAACGCCCTTAGTATAATGCTTGGTACGTAGTAGACACTCAATGAAAACGCTCTGTGATAACTGTGATGAGGATGAATCCTGGATGCATGCCAGAAGATTTGCACCCACGTTTCTCCTCTGCTGTGGGCCCATAACTTCTCATCCTCAGTTCTCTCGATTGTCCCACAAGATGATGAGCAACATCTTTGCCGCCAGGCAGCTGTGCGAATGAAACAGACAATGCGTGTGAGCGTCCTCTGTACGCGCTGAAGTGAGATACAAACGTGAGGTTGCCTTCTGAATCCCCACATGCTTTGCTCAACACTGGGACAAAGCAGTGACTCCCTGAATGTTTGCCGATTGATCTGAAGGAAGATGTCTGACACAGCATGCACAACTGGGGTAATGGTGTTGTTAGTCTTAACATTGTCATTAACATATTGACCCAGGAAGAAGAAAGGCTGAGCAGACCTGGAGCCTGTGCACATCGGATCAAGGGCCACGACCTCTCTGCGGGCTCCATGAAGCTCCCGGAAGGGCTCTTCCTTGGTCCCACTCCACCCCTTTCCCTGTTGTCCCTCTGCTCGGACCCCAGGCCCGGGAACTCCAGGACAGCAGCTCCCCTCACAAGCTTCAGGTGTCCTGGCAGCAACACAGAAGCATCCTAATTCTGACATGAAACTGAGAAGGACCAGTGCTCACTGTTCTGTACTTGTGTCCTCTGCAGTTGGGACAACTTTCTCTGGTTTCGTTTAGTCAGTTGGTGTGAGCACGAAAGGGCTGAGCCTAGACTCTGAGCCCTGGCTGGAGATGAAGTCCCCTTTGTAAGGCAGAAAAGCAGGGGAGGCCAACAGAAGAAGGGACAGCTCACCCTGGGCCTGAGGTTACACTTGCCAATGTTTAACTTCCTTTAAATCAACCAGCAAGCCCGCTCCCTCTCGTTCATTAGTAACCTGTTAATCTGCCACAAACGTCATCAACTCCATCTAATGTGTATTTTTTGAGCACCTACTATGTGCCAGGTACTCTAGGTGATGGGAAAACAGCCACAAACATAACAAAGATCCCTGCCTTCATGGAGTTTCGATCCAGTTAGAGAGAGACAATAAGACAGATAAGGAAAATATGTACTAGTACATCAGATGATAAGAAGTTCCTAAAGAAAAACAGCTAAAGCAGGGAAGAGGATTGCAGAGTGCCAGGAAGAGGGGGGAAACGTTCAACAGGGTAGCCAGGAAAGGCCTTTGTTACGGGTTGAATCGGGTCCCCTCAAAGCTCACGGGTTAAGGTCCTAACCCCCAGGATCTCAGAGTGTGCCTTTATTTGGGGACAGGGTCTTTACAGAGGTCATCAAGTTAAAATGAAGTCCTTTGGGTGTGAGCCATCAGGTTGGACCGGTGTCCTTATAAGAATGTTGAATTTGGAGATGCACGCAGGGAGAACGCCATCTCCAAGGCAAGGGAGAGGCCTGGAACAGACCCTTCCCTCAGAGCCCTCAGAAGGAACCAGCGCTGCCAACACCTTGCAGCCTCCAGAACCTAGAGACAACACACTTCTGTTGTTTTAGGCGCCCAGCTTGTGGGACTGTGTCATAGCTACACCAGGACACTAACACAGCCTTGCTGAGAAGACCTGAAAGGAGGGGGAGCTGCAGCGAGGTCGTTTTGGCCCCTCCCAGTGTTGTGGTGTTTGCCTGTCCGTGGAGCTGGTAGTGATTCCAGCACATTCCTGAATGCTTATTGCAGGGTAAATCCAAGTCCCCTGTCCCAGAGCAGGTTCCAGGTAAGCCAGGCCTGAGGTCTGCGCCAGCAGCAGTCAGTCCAGGGGCCCCGGGCCACCATTGTCACATTCTTCCTCGAGGCTCTGAACACTGTCCACAGTTCAGCGGAGACCAGGGGAGGCATTAGCTGAGCCCTGCTCAGCAACGACACTGTCGCTGATAGGGGAACTGAGAATCCTTGTCCTCTGCTCAGCCTTCACCCCCGCATCGTCACCCCAACAATCCTGCCAGGGCTAAACTTTGACCACTCCCAGATGCCACGAGGGCTAAGCATTTCCCTCACTCTCTCAACCCTGCTTCCCCAGCCGTATATATGCAGCTGGAACATTACCAGGTGTGGCTTCAGTGGGCAGCCTGCCACCCCAGTTTGGGGTCGGGGGGGGGGGGACAGAAAGCAAAGACAAAGGTTCATTTCCTTCCCTCCCCTTCTTCCCCAGGAAAGAGCCTTAAGGGCACACCCAGAAGGAACAGAAGGGCAAGTCCCCTCAGTCACTCGCATTGGCCCCAGTGGTCGCCCCTGGGCTCCTTTTATTTTTTGGCACAGGCAGGGTTGGGACCACAACTTCTCTGGAAAGGACAGGGTCAAGAGGCTGGGATCAGCCAGCGGCCCTAGAGGAACCCTGTGTTTTCCATTGTGCATTGAAATTCCCGTTTGCCCGGGGCCGAGCTTCCCCACAGAATCAAAGAGGTCAATAAAGGCCAGGGACAAAGCACAAACACAGCCTGGAAGCCAAAAGACGCCCATAAGCGTGGAGATAAATGGGCATTTCAGAGTGGTGCAGGAGGTGGGTGTGGGGCATTGCCCCTTCTCTGGCTGGCAGAGCCTGGCCACTGGTTCTCCAAATAGCCCTTCCACTTTGGAGATGCCAGGTTGTTGTGGACCCAAGGCTTGACTGGTTCTGGGTCACAGTGGGGAGGATTGACAAGAACAAAGGCTCCCTCTGGACGACAAATACGGCACTTCCTGTATTTCATGCTCTGGTACTCAGCCCTCCCAACGTGGAGGCACTCTTCTTGTTTGTTTTTAACTTTATTTTATTGAAGTATAGTTGATTTACAACGTTGTGTTAATTTCTGCTTTACAGCAAAGTGGTTCAGTTATACATATATATATTCTTTTCCATTAGGGTTTATCACAAGATATTGAATATAGGTCCCTGCGCTATACAGTAGGACCTTGTTGTTTATCCATTCTATATGTAATAGTTTGCATCTGCTAATGCCAAACTCCCAATCCATGCCTTCCCCACTGCCCCTCCCCCACGGCAACCACAAGTCTGTTCTCTGTATCTGTGAGTCTGTTTCTGTTTCGTAGATAAGTTCATTTGGAGGCACTCTTTTTTGACAGGGTTATGTTTCTTTTCTTTTAAGAAAAGTTCCCACTCTTAGGGGTTTTTTAAATGATGCAAATTCTGGC